TGAATTTCAGAAAACAGATTAATTAAAAACAAGCTTGGTTTTTACATTAGTTTAAGTGATTTAATGCCAATTAAATACACTCTATAATACAGATTGATGTTACGTTGACCTTATTTATTGTTTAATTGTGTATATTCACAAAATTTAGCAGTCATTTGAAAAGAAGGTCCCTCTTTACTTTGCAAAAGTAGTCTCGAAAAGAAGCCCATCTCGAAAAGTAGCCCATCTAGAAAAGAAGCCCATCCAAAGTTCGCAAAAAAGAAACCCAGGGCTTCAATGGGGTATGGTGGTTTTATGGGGTAGGCCTATCTGGGCCTTCATGTTCGAATCAACTGTGCCATTTGCCGTATCTCAATGTTTACTTACTGGTAAATTTCCCAGGTTTGTTCTTTTAGGCTTTATTAATCACCTAAATCTACTATAGTTGACAAGTGCCGGTAAGCCTTGAATCTGTTCCCACCTATGACAAATAGCCCTACTGCACTGATTTCATCACAAAAAAAATCATTTAAAAAAATTAAAAGAAAACCAATCAGTCGAACTGGCCGAATTAAAAAAAAACTTCTTAGGCTCATATACAGATGAAAGAACCTAACAACTGCTATATCATTATGAAGCTTTTTAACTTACATGTATAGTCATAATCTTCGAAAAACCAAAGTATAGAACCAAAATACATAATGAAGATTTTGGTATCAAGAATAAATATACAGAGCTAAGACTGCAAACTGCAATACAATAAAGTTTTCTTGGACATCATTGAGATAGGAATTGTTTGAAAAAACGCTCATGCCGGAAGTAAACAGTCAGAACATACTTTACTTTATTTGCATAAATTTGCATCACTAATCAAACAAATAAATAAAAAATAGTCTCCTGTTATTCTTCTAAAATGTTAATGACAAAAATAATTTCAACACTTTGTTTCGCCCACCGACAGAGGACGCTACATTATTATAGGCCCGTATGGATATGATGAATATGTATGGAAATCAGTGGTGGGCAACAAAAAGTGATTGAATTATTAATTATGAACTACCGTATATTTTCATCACAATACGTTATCGTTTTACCAATATACCTCCTTGGGTTTACATGCATTAAATAAATCATTATATAGCTTCTTAGATTTGAACAAGGCTTAGTGACCCAGACCAATCGGCAAATATCATCTATCATCAATAATTAATCCATTTCAGAGTAATTTGTTTTAAATCACCCAATAAATATTGTAAAGCAATGACTACATAATTCCAGCCTTACGGATCCCGCTATTAAATGAAAGTTATGATTAATTATACAATAAATAGCTACTTGGAACAAACAATTAGTAACGAACGCCTCCTTAACATCTAAAAAAAAAATGAGTTACCGTAAATTCTCGAATAAGCGCCGCACTAAACGTTTTTTTTTTCCCCGCTAAGTGCCGCTCTCGAGATTATTCTATTTTGAATAAGTGCCGCGGCCTGAGTGTATACCTGTGTGTAATGAAGCACTTTGAGAAACAGGGTTTTGAATAAAATATATACTGTGTTCAAATGTTAAATAACACAATAAAAACACAAGCATATCTTTTTAAACATTTATTTACGATGATGTAATGTGGGGCCTATGATAGGCACCGAACTACGGGAATACGTGAGATAGGTACATGGGGAATGAAAAGCGCCACACCAATACTGTATTTTTTTTATAAGCGCTGCTCTCGAATAATCGCCGCACTGAAGCCTCCAAAAAATCGAGCATTTACGGTAAGCAAGTAAAAGCGGCAATATGTTTGAAGATGAAATTAAAATAAAAACAGTCAGTGGTGACCAGACCCGGCTCCTATTCAATACCGTACCTTTTGCATACAAGTAAATGTCATAATAGATGTGAATATAAATTACATATTTTTAATAATAGAAATTGAAATTATTTCTTAAGAACTGATTCACCAGCTTGTACTTGATATGTAAACGTGAGATGTGTATTGAAGTGTGCATCAGCTCATAACCATTAACATTTTAGGGCGCCGGCCCGCGTCGATAAAACCAGAAACTTCTCACCGTACGCGTGGATAACACAGAATAGATGAAAATCGAATTAACATACGCTTGATAACAGCTTTTTGTTGAAGTTGTACAATGTAATATTATTAAATACTGAGTGAATACAACACACAGTACTACAATTATGTTTAATTAATATAATGTTAAGAATATGGTTCGATATTATTACCCCTTTTCCATGAAAATACGTTAACATATTGGCAATTTGTTACGGAAGTTTGAGTTTGTAATTTTTGGAAACAGAACCAACTGAAATGAATGGGGTACATGAAGGTCACCCTTTCATGTACTCTCAATTGTAAACCAGAAATAACATGTTTATAAATAGAAATATTCAACTTAGGCCCGAGGGTAAAATTTAGTGGAACACATTATTTACTTTACGAACTTTAACAATTCAACAACAGAATATTCCTTGATATTCATTGTACTATGAAATGATTAATAATGGCGGACGGTACTTGTATCCAACGTCATATAAAAAACTTGATTATATTTTAGTCGATACACATCTAGATGTGTATAAGAGACAGACACTATACATATATATATATGTGTGTGTTAAAAATGGTAACTTTTCATAATTTGAGAAGAAATGGTGTTGGTATTCTAAATGTGTTCAGTCATAAAAAAAAAGCATCTTTTGTATGAGCTACTTGTACTATTGAATAAAAAAAAAAATCGAAGTTATAAATATAAAAAAAACAATCACTAAATAAAGCCCTAAATGAAGATCGAACCATGGTGCTTTGTGCTTTAGCACTCGAACTTAATTTTGTAGGTAAAGGGAATATAGGGGAATGAGCTGTTTAGTCCATCGTATAAAGCATTGTCATTTGTGTGGGAAGGTGACCAGTTCCTTTCCACGCAGTGAACCGGATGCCCATTTATAATCCTGGGTGGAGAGACAAACATAGGCAAAGTGCCTTGTAGTAAACACATTCAAATAGGCCTATTTAAATGATGCGCAAATGAATCAAAACATGATGGTCAAAAATTAGAGGCAGAATATGACACTTGACATTTTCCTTATACTTGTCACCCAGACAATGTTGTTTGCTAAGTTAGGCTATCGTGTATAAACTATTAGCAGACCTGTATCTGGGAAAGTTTAATGTGGATGATATATACACAGAATTGAGTGTCACCGACGGAGGGGTCGATTCCCAGAGGAAAGCATAAGTGGGCGTGGTCGGGTGTCACTCAAAATCTCTCGATAGTGATCTAGGGGCGCAGCCCCCAGAAACTACGACAATTTAGGATTTTCAACGACTTATTTAAACGATTTCAGGGTCTACTATAAAATTAAAATTTGTTGTCCATCCGACGAAGTGTTTTCTTCCCGGCGAGAGGCAGCTCTTTCAGAATGCCCCCACCCCACTGGTGCCACCCCTGGGGAGATATATGCTACCGAACTTCATCGAAAAGGGTCTAATTCAATTCAAATTTTATTTCAACATATTTACTGCATATATATATATAGGTCTATATATATGTATATATTGAACAATATATATATATATGTATATATATATATGTATATATATATATATATATATATATAGAACAACATATAAATGTACACATGTAAGACTAGCGTAAATATTGAAAATAGGGACGTTGCATGCAGAAGGCTAAGCCTATTAAACGCAATGCCCTTTGAATACAATACCATCAAGGGTAGGAAAGGACAAATTCAATGAACACATTATGATAATAAATGATAAAAAGTTAATAAAAAAAAACATAGTGAATAAATGAATAAACATAAAATCAAGATTTAGTTATTATCTAGCTTTACAATACATTATCTGCAAACTAAGCCTACTATATTAAATTGAGATGTGTAATCATTGTGAGGTGTAAAAACATTATTTATATCATTATTGTATATTTCAAGGCAGATTTAACATGTCTTTAAAATAGCAACAATAGTATTTGGCTTGGTACATATCCGTATACGATTTACGAAGTAATCTTTTACACATCTATACAACTTAACTCTATTATTACTGGTAGTCCCTCGGTTCTACGTTCTACGTCTACGTTCTCTTACCTAATGTGACATTAATATATTTATATGTGAAAAGTTTAGTTAAACACCTCCAACATAATCGAAATGACTGACAAGCCTATATTATTCTTTTAATTATTTCGCATTTCCCAACCTACATAAAAATTGATTCGATCCATGATTATTATAAATCTATATTATGCCTACTCAGCATGGCAAATTGTTTGCGAACTTGGCCAAAGATCATAATAATGCTTACCTTATATTCTATTTAAATATTTGTACAGTTAAGAGGCAGTATTATATTATAAATTTATGAAACCTGAAACAAAAGAATGTTTGAAACATCTGCAAAGAATAACCACGTATATCTGCAGGTCTATATTATTGTGATCACTACATATACATATACTGCATATTATACTTTTATTGACAAGATCACTGTTTGTTTTCAATTATGATATTGTTAAATCTGGGTGCTGATGGGGGTGCGCGAATGTGAAGTGAATGTGAATGTGAACTTGATGATCAGTTGAAATGCAATTACTATAGCGCACCTTCTTTTTGATGCGACGTTTAAGCCGTTGGTCCCGTGTGTACTATGACAAATGTGCATGTTATAGAATGCAGTACACTCTTTGGAAAAGAGTAGGGGATTGTCTCCCGGTGTACTGCCCAATCACCACCAGAAGGATCCCACTGGAAATAAGTCTCCTTCAGATTTTAGTGGGTTATCCTTGGTGTTTACACCGAATCAATCCATCCATCCATCCATCGTCACGGAAATTGAAAAAATGTTTAAAATTGCACAAGTGATGTCTATTTTTTTGACAAGAAGATATGAGTGTGTCTGCTCCAACCCTTGTCGTCGTGGGAGCACACAGGTGAATTTTCTAGGGAAAACATTTTTATGACACTAATGATGGCAGAATCTCTTTATGATCTCACACTTTTATTAATAAATACAAAAAAGCATCTACAATGTCTGCAGAATGAAAATAATAGAAAATCTAAAAACACTTGGGAAAACTCAATTTGTGATGTGTAGTTATACTATTAGCTTGTTTCTTTTTTCATTTTATTACAACCTATGAGATAACAATAATGAATGTTACCTCGGTGATGTTTCTGGTCCAATCAGGTACCTTTCCTCAAACTGATTACAAGTTGGGATTGGTCTTATCCCTGATGTTCAGTTACGCATTCTAACATCCGGTGATTGATGGTAGAACATTCCCCTAGGCCCTTGGTCTTTGCTTTTTTTTTTATTGACATAAATGTGCTAAAGTTCATACACTCTAAACCTTTGTTCATACTTTTAGGTTGTTTTCTTATGCAAATGGATTCTATTATTCTCCTTTTCTCCGAATCACTTTCTTTTTCCAAAAGCTATAGTTTATACAAAACCAGATGGAATTCTTCAGGCATATTATTATATTTATTATGAAACATAAATATAGCTCTCCCTCTAATTAAAAACCCTCCAATTAAGGACTACCTCCAATTAAAGACCACTTATCTGTTGTCCCATATTGACAAACGTATTTTATCTTTATTATCCCAAAATTTGTCTTCAATTGGATGGAGACCAGTAAAAAATTAAAGAATTAAAAACTAAAAATCAAACAACAAGAGAGTTGTAATTGAATTGAGCAAATTAAAAGGTAATTATAATTACAGATATTACTCAACAACAACCACAACCTTTAAAAGTAAACAAATAACCAAAATAGATAATTCCACATTAAAAACTTTCGGAATTAATACAAAAATGTTTATTGTAATAAGTACTCTGTTGATATACAACATGAATATGAACAATTCAAATAACATTACAGAAAAACTGTGGAATTCAAACATTAATGGGACACCATTGTCATAATTCATGCGACTGCCTTTCTTCCTCCGAGTTGATTCTATCTATGGTATGATGCAGCAGCATTCACCAAGTTTCTGGTTCTTCAAACATCTTCACATCTTTATCTTCAACAGGTTCTTAAAAGAAAAGGATAAAAATACTTAATTTTCTTGAAATTGCTACAATCTATCAATTCAATCAATCAACAAGGTTTTTTGAATTATTGCAACTATCCACGGAGTTGGCGAGTTGATTGGCCAAGCGGTTAAGTCAGGGGCACCGTAAACTTCAGCTCTAATATCGGCACAGATTCGAACGGCTCACTCGCCAATGGTTATGGTGGTGGAACAATTCTTTTGGATAAGGACTTTAAACCGTAGGCCCAGTGTACGCCCTTGGCTCGTGTTCACTTTAAAGAACCCAGTACATCCTTTCAGAAGAGTAGGGGGTTACCCCGGTGTACTGGTCCATTAAGTCCCCTGTTGTTAAATGGATATGCCACGTAGGACAGTGATTAAGTTCACTTATTGGCATATCCTTGGCGCTTGTGCCTAAAGAAATGAAATGAAAATGGAAGTATGCAATGTTTGGTGGCGCTATGACGTTAGTATTATTCAAAGTGAACATTTGATAATGTTTTATTATTACAGGAGTATATAATAGACCTAGAAAATACATTAGATTTTGAAAAGGATGATCATCATATGCTAACCTGAAAGAAGGAAGGATTTACAGGACCAAACCCCATGGAAGTCCACTAAAGAGATGTGCAAATTATACCAGAACATAGTAGCATCAGCTCTGATGACAATGTGCTTTATTTTGTACAATTAAATTATGAAAATGTCAAACGTTTAAGGCAGATAGGGAGCTAACCCCATATGGATACAAAAACACATAAAAAAAGTAAAAGGGAAACAAAACTAAAGAACAGGAAACACAGGAAATCTTCAAAATTTTATTGCAGTAAGGCACAATAAAGTATAATATATACTCCCGAGTCCAAGTATTGAATTACATGCAATCGTGTTGTTATACAATACAGTTGAACAGCCAAAGTCAAATACTTTCTTATCTGAGATGATTAATTAGTGAACATTTCGGTTTAAAGCACAATATCTATGTTGAATAAGTTTGGTTAGAATGCACGTAAACTATTCCAAATCTATTGGAAATTGAAATTTGGAAAATTGTCAGAATGCTATCAATGCGAGTTTGCATATCATAATAAGTGATGTTTTGCCTTACCTGACATGTTTAATTGTACCGAATACTTTTAGCGTTCGGTACGATAACACGTCAGGTAGGGTAAAACATCACTAGTATTCGGTACAAAAACATGTCAGTTAGGCCAAAACATTACTCCTATGATGTTTTCCTGACACAAACTCACATCGATGTCACTAAGCGCGAGCTTGGCAGTCTTGTGGCTATGGCGCCAGGCTAGTTATCCGGATGTAGTGGGTTTCAATTCCCACCTGAAAGTATTTGGGAATGTACTGAAAATTCTCCTATTGTCGGAATGGTCTGCTTTTGTTTTACATCATACTAGTACACCACACTGACAAATATTTTTATCCTACCTTTGGTAAAATTGGTTTTGATCAGTTCAACTTTTCCTTCCTCTGTGTCCTTTTCTTTCACCTCATCTTCACCCCCTTTCCCAGCTTCTTCAACATCAACATCGCCCTCCTCTGTGACACCTGGTAATGGAGGTTTTACCCCCTTCCTTGATACAAATGGTGCTGCGCTGTTGAAACAAAACAAAGTTTTCTCTAAACTCTCTGGAGTTTTATAAAACAAGCTTGTGTGATTTGCCCATGTAGTCAATGACAACCATTTGTTCTGTCGATTCAGAACGGTTAAGAACTTTATTATTATTATGGGCATGGTGATGTCATATCAGACCTGATATATATGGGCAAATCATACAAAATGCAATAGCGAGATGCTTTATCAAGGTCTCACTATGCTATGTAGAAAATGAAATTATTCGTGAGTGTGGCTAGTTAAGAAAATTGGTATAATGATATTTAAACTGAAATTTTTAAAATCTTACAGCTGATAATTTTTTTACTGTTTTTTTTTGTGTATCCGAGGAAACCAAATTTCAATTTTACTTGTTGTACTATTTGACAATAAAATTACTTTGAACTTTGAACTTTGAACTAAAAACAACTTCACTCCCTAAAGCTTCATAAAGAGAAGTGGTTTAATAGAGTAAATTGTATTTGATGAGTGTAAAGAAAAATATATTAGCCCTTATAATTTTCCTTATGACACCAAGCCTGCAAGACATTTTTTTATCATTTTATCTGTGGCTGCCTCCATAAGGTGCACACCAGACTTATGTGACTGGTGAGGTGGACAGCCATCAGCGACCTACAACCATGTCTTCAGATATGAGTGCACCACTCATGTTTGATTTACCATTGGCCAGAAAATATTCTAGATTAGGAGGAAACTTACTTTGGATCCATAGGTTTCTGTTTCTTTGCCTTGGTCTCCATCAAATCAGCAACCTCGGCATCAGCTTCCAAGGAGGAAATGCGTCTCTTTCTCTTCCCAGGATCATCCACGTTTGCTTTCTCAATATCTGCAACAGTCATTGTCTTACCATCTTGCGGTTGGTCGATTTTTTTGTTCTCTTTTTCAAAGTTTGTATCCACGCTGCTGTAAATCTCTCTTTTATAGTCATTGTACGGTACAACTGTGTAGTCCTCTCCTTTGGTAATGGTTTTCATAACTAGTGAAATAAGTTTAATAAATATTTTAAAATGTACACATTTGTACATTTAAAGATCATTCACATGTCTTATTCTGCAAGACTGGAAAATCACCTAAACTGGGATTTGTGGGGAGTTGAGTGGCTGAGCGGTAAGCAGGGGCGCCGCTAACTACAGCCTTAACATCGGTGTTGGTTCAAGCAGCTTAACGCCCAGATTTTTTCTAGTAAAACCAAGTCAGATAAGGACTTGAGAGATTTAGTGTAACATCTGACTCGTTTGCACTTTGAAGAATCCATTGCATCTTTTGAAAGAGTAGAGGGTTAACCTGATGCTATAGTCATTTCAGCAACCTGTCATTGTGGAATGATCTGAACATGTAGCTACTAGAAGCGTCTCTTTACGGCAGCTGAGGTAGACACGGACCACGCCCATACGCGATTCAGCACAATGACACTGCGAGTTATGGGTTATTTTCCTACATTTAAACTTGCTTCACCTGCTTAGTTTGCAGATGCATTTACCAACTGAACCATAGAGGCTTCATGATTAATGGTGAATATGTATATAAAAATTTATATACATACATATATATATATNNNTATATTATGTACCTGTAGCTTGTCTAAAATTATAAATATCCATTAATTTAGTGGAAATAAATGTCATGGTTCAAATGTAACACCATATTTTTATTCTCTGCTTCTCTCAAAAACAAAACAGTAGTAAGAATTGATTCTAAAGGCAGCCATGGTTTGGATTTTTTGCTAAGAAACATGTACTAACGCCTCTGGATTCAAACCTGGCTGGTCGCATTGATGCGTTAAAAACAAAACATGTTGTTTTCAAAGTCAAATGAAACGACAAGGCTTCACAGAGTGGCCTGGATGTGAGAAAATTGGCATAAGCCATTTTATCCAGCTAAGTTTTCGTATTCAGTACACTATCCGCTTCAAAATGTCAACTGGTTTAAGCGATTTGTCTGAGATCAATTAGCAGACAGTCCCTATGGATACGATACACCTTTCTCATAAATTTTGTTAAAACAAATCATCACTTTTACTTCAAAAATGTTTTCGGCTAATGAAAAAAGAATGAAATTAGAATTTAAAAAAAAATTAATTTGCTAATTAAAGGTGTACTGTCTCTCCCCACTCAGGAGTACAAGTGGGTATCCGGTAGGTTGAAACACCAATGCCCTGATTACTGCTGATAAATAATAAAGTGTCCCACATGTGTTTGATCAAATGGCCAGGTTAGTGTGATGAAGAGGAGAGGTCATGACAATAAGCATGTTAAAAATCTATTAATTAGTGCACACTCTAAATTGAGACCCCTTTAAATCTGAGACTCCTCTTCAAGACCACTTTTTCAAAGTACCCCCCACCCTGTCTTAGCCCACATTTTCTACTCCATAGTAATCATGAATTAGAGGGGAAACTGTATAATAATTACCTGCTGAAGCTTCTGCCACTTTGTACAATGAGACAAATGCTTCCGTGTCACTGATCCAGGCGACGTAGATGGATCCAAATGGGGAAAACAACCGATGAAGGTCACCTATACGCCATTCTTTAGGGAAAGTCACATGGAACACATGGTTTCTTGATGGCTGTACTGTGGAGAGAGGAAAGCAATGTCATTAAATAGTGCCTCTGGGAAATTACACACCGTTCCCTACTTATGTCGGTACTTTTTGACAACACATAAAAGTCGCTATACACTACTACACTACATAACACTTAATGATGCTCCAAATTCCGCAACTCCTTGTTAGCTAGGCCTAGAAAATTGCAAAAGATATTCCCAGTGACAGATATTGGCCTGGGTTGGTGGAAGCCTGTTTCGCTATAGGCCTAAATCTGGGGTGGGCATAAAATGTTTGCTTCCAAAAACCTTCATGGATTGTTTTATAACACTTTATTCTCAGTATTAATATTACTTTTTACAGATGATCGGTGTCGGGCCATAAAAAACAAGATGTTTTTCTATTCAAAGATGTTTGGCGGGCCGCACACATAGGGTTTTTAATTTTGAGGGCCGCAAAAACATCACTGTCAGGCCACATGCGGACCGTACCATTTTCCACCTGTGGCCTAAATAAATGTGACATGTTCTAATGAAAACCAGAGGAAGTGGCAAAATATTAAAAATTAAAAAAAAATATATATATTCTATAATATTAGCTTTGGAAACTTGCACTAAGTTGCACAGTTCATGCATGACTGCATAACAGTGAACAGTGACAAAATGCGCTTAGCAACCAGTCTAATTATAATGCAAATAGTTTTCAGATGTGGTTAAAATTGACAAATGAGAGATATATAATACATGGACTTAATACAGCCGAGATCTCAGCTTTTATCATTTTAGATCTGAAAACCTTATTATTGATTTTTTTTTCTAAACGTTAACTTGTGATTTTGTCCAGGTTTCGTATATGAACATGTCATTAATAAAAGCTCACCTTTTCACTGCTCTAATCCGAGCCTACAAAACGTTTTGTATCATAGAAGAGAATAGCACTAAATAACTGTCAGTTTTATATTGATACCAAAGATCTTATAATACGATTTCAGCTTGCAAACAGTAATTACTTTTCAATATTTGACATCGAAGATCATTAACTAAAGATAGCGCATCTCACAATTTCTGCGCGAAAATTCTGTAACAACCATGGTAATAACTAGGACGCCAACTCAAAATCACAGAGAGCACTAGCTTGTAATTATGAGATCCTTAATTCAAACATTTTAAGAAGTGGAAAAAACTGCCATAATATTTAAGCCTGAATATGTAATGAATACAAGACCGTTGGTGAAAACATCTAGTGGGAAAGAAAGAGGAAAGACAGAAAGAAGTTTAAGTAAATAATTTATAATGGTATTATCCATTGACATTATAGAAGGATTAATAGGCTTCAAAAGTAAATGCAAAAAGACTATATTAGAGTCACTATTTCAAGTTCAAGTTGATATATTGTAAATATAACCATAAAATATGAATAACTCACTACATATAAGTAAGATAAATAATTAATTTATGAATAGCAGTCAGCAAAAGTATGATTAAGAAAATCTTTACTGTACGAGGTCAAAGGAAGTACTTCTTTATGATGCATAGCGTAAAGGTTAATTGTGTCAGTTTTGATGCTATAAATATAGACTAACATCTTCTGACAAAGGCAACATCTTTAACAACTGTCGCAATTGATTATTAGCACTATAATTACCGATTTTACTCACACGTTATCCAACAATAAATTTTAAAATTCAAAGTTTTATTCTGTTTTTAATGATACAGGTCTCCCTCCAATTAAAGACCACCTCCAATTAAAGACCGCTTTTCTGTGTTCCCAAATTATCTAATTTCTTTTATCTTTATTATACTAAAGAGAGACCAAAGCTGCTAAGACCACAGAAACTGTGGTCCTAAAAGTGGTCTTTAATTGGAGAGAGACCTGCATTTATAAAGTGGAACCTTTCCAGCTTATCCTAGTCAGCTGATATTCAGGAACTATTGTAAAAATTAAATTATACAATTCAAAATCTACAAAGACTTTGATAAAGAGATATTTTTAGTTGTTAAATATGTACTGTCCCTTGCAAAAAACAAAAAAAAAATCATTTAAATCGTTTTTGAAATTTACTTGCCCATTTTGAAGTAACATTAACAAATTATCAACTTGAACATAGAAATTAGTGTATTTAAAAAAATGCTTACCCATAAAAACCATCATTTTACAGCGAAAAAATGATAGAAACACTTCCAGTCACTGGAAGTGTTTTATTATCTTTATTATAATTATCCAGTTAAAAAATCAGATTTTTAATTTAATAATTTCAATGCTCAAGTTAATAATTTGTATGTTACTGCAAAATGAGCAAGTTAATTTAAAAATTATTTTTTAATGATTTTGGTCATTTTCAAGGGACAGTACATCTTTAAAAACAATCTTGATATTACAGAATTTAGGCTTTGGGATTAGAAAGCACACTTAACCACCAAGGTACACCTCCACTGCTATACCTGCCAACTTTGCTGCATTTGATGCTCAAGGCAAAAAAAAACAAACAAAAGGAAATTTGTATATACCGCCCTCTATGTAAACATTACGAAATAGAGCTTGAACTGCTACTGATTACAGTCGTCAGTCAGTAAAGCTTCGTTAGAATAAATTTGTATGGCCTGCAGTCACATCTAAATGTTGAATTCACATCGCTTTTATGAATTTTAGGGTATAATCAGCAATTTTATGTTATAAAATTTTTGTGACATAGGCGCGGGACAACATAGGCGCAAGACGTAAAAAGTGGATGCTCATGCGTGGGACTCATGCATTATACGTGAGAGTTGGCAAGTGTACACTTCATTCCTGTTGAAAGAAAAAATAAATGAAATAAGTAAATTCATAACATGAGTCAGTGCAGTTAAAATACTTACAATCTGGTCCATTTAAGTTCAAGTATGGAATGTCATTGCTACGCATCAGATGGATTCTGAAAAATAATGAATCAGTATTATAACACATGGTATTAATAATGTTTTTTACAATGAGATGATAATGATTCCCTTCTCTTTAAACAAAACAACTATGCACGGCTGACTTATGAGACTCTTATAAAATATGGTACACATTTATAGTCCTAAGTGGTGACAAAATAAAAATAATAATAATAATGGTTGACTTATAGAGCGCATATTGTAGGGACTTCTGTTGGTTTAACATTATTACAAAATGTGGATAAATTGCAGAAGATAATGTAACTAGAATAGGATTTGAATCAATGCCCTTCAAATTATAGCCAACCACTGGAAAGGAAAGGTCAGAGTTTACATTTTCCACAAGCATAGCTATGAAGGCTGTGTACCAACATTCAAATTTGATTAATCAAAAACTTTCTTCCTAAATCAATGAAATAAAAGTATTCATAGGTATTAATGTTTTGTTTTTTTTATACGTTCACTGCCAGGGACTCGAGTTCACATTGACAGGGTTCACCCAGGGCTCCAAGGACATGTTTACATCCACACCTGTCCAAAGGATAACTATTGTATTCCATGTAAAGTTGCTGGCAGTGTTTGTCAGAACACGATTTCTCGCCCTGGAGGTTCCGTAAGGCCCAGAAGAAATGATCTAAACATACTACTGTAGATTTGTTCGTGTTTCACTACAGTTGATGTAAATAATTTTCATTATGGTGGCGCCCTTTATGCCTTGGTATGTAGGACGGAGGTAGGAAAAACATCTTTGCAGTAAATGTGTTAACACATACTTGTTCATAAATGGTTCCAAAAACTGAGACGATGGTGAAACACGTTGTTTTGGAGGGTCCATGAAGGTTCCAAGGTAATTGGCCATTATTGCGAAGCACTGACCCGTAAGATAAGCATCGTAACCTGCCTCGTGGTGCATCTCTCCTTCACTGTACCCGCTGAAGTTTGATGCCATTTCTATAATTAAAATATGAACAGAAATTACTTACTTAAATTTAGACAAATCAAACAAGTACTGTATCAGCAACAAAAAATAAAAGTAAATGCATGAAACAAAGGTGAAGAGTTGCTGTAACTTTAAAGTCAGACTCCGGAGGAAAAAAAATTTTTGATATGTTGTAGAACTGATTTTTCTAAGACAAAAAAAAGTTGTTTGATTAAAAACAGAGCAACGGTGAATGAGATACAGATTTTTGAATGTTTAAAAACAACAACATATCAAAAAATATTTTCCCTCCGGACGCCTGATTTTAATGGTAAATAACACAAAGATTATCTGTCATCGTCCTTCATAAGGTGACCAAAGAATGGCGTTGCCTGATACGGTTTGAATTAATAATAATGAAACTTATAAAGTACCTAGAGTATATGCATTGTATTTGCAGTAGAGCTTATGAAGCTAAAAAGAAGTAAAGTTACTAAAATTACCATTAAATGTTATGGTAAATATTCTCGCTTGCTTCAGGCGATGCTCTGCTGTGTGTATATAGTAAAATATATAACACAAAATATGAAGTATTTTTAACGTTATGTAATGTAATCTTAATCTGAAAATGTGAATTTATGAAGATATACTGGTACTTAAAGACCTGACATGGCTGGACTTGTTTGTTATGATTTGGCAGAAGTCCATGTAAACAAACATTCCATCAAGAGGCCCTACTACGCTCAGGGCCTGGGCCATATAGTAGTTTTGAATTTTCTATCCCTTTTAGAGGAACCAGGGGTAGAGGTCGTCCTAAGACCACATGGCTTAAAGACATCACAGATTGGATGGGAAAGACTATGACGTTTTGTTTGAGGGAAGCAGAGGATCGACTGAAGTAGAGGAGGAGGGTGTATTCATCAAAGTGCCCTGATGGTCTTTGGACTATGGGAGTGACCTGACCTGACCTAAGGACCTTGCACAGCCAATTTGAGGCCCATGGTTCGATTGGTGGTCTGCACAGATTGTACAATGAAACTGTGGATAGATGACATTAAGATAGAAAAGATTGTTAGTGAATGAACCCCTCAAAACGATTTACTGTATAACTTGCCTATTGTGGGTGGTATGAAGGGATTGTCCTGAAGCCTCTTGTGTAAGTCACCCAGTGCTGAACTCATGATGAATTCCTGATTAAAAATGAGAAATTGAAAATATAATATTACTCAAGACATTAAAATATATAGCTGGCATTAAAAGAAACATTAATAAATTATAAGTAGTTCTTTATTTTTATTATTTTTTTTAACTATTTATTATTTATTTTACTATTCTAATGCATCAGTTACTTAATGCAATCACTGACAAAACTGGAAAAAAGCATACATGAACAGAGTGCACCAGTAAACTACAATATACAAAGCCATTTGTTAATGGGAACAGTCAATAAATGCCCTCGAGTTGGATAAGCATAAACTCCCTGTCATCGAAAGACTATTTAGGTCTTCAAAACTCAAAATATTTGTTTGCCCATCCAACCAATAGATTTTCTAAAAGCACAAATTGTCTTCAATCCTGATTCAAGAAAAAGTGGTATAACAATGTGGCCAAAAGTTAGGATGAAGTATCTTAACCAAAGATTCAAGTTTCTTTTTGGAAAATTTTAGATTTGGAAAAAAGCTTTTCATAAGCCATGTCATCCTTATTAGAAATTTTTTTTAAATCTTTAAAAAGAGTTATAAAAAAACAGAAAAAATGTGTATAACCCTTATCTTACCTTAAATGGATGAGTACTTGCCATAACCTTTGTATCCACCACACGGTGAAACACGCAATGTGACATATTCTTGAACTCCAAAAGATTCTATGAATAAATATTATGATAAAATGTTTTACAATCAACTCTCAATTCCTAGACTATTTACTACAAATACAAATCCATAAAACAATTTTACTAGCTAATTTACGAGTCAATGTAAATAATATATAAACAGCAAATTATGTCTGCATCTTTTAAATTGCCAAAGAAAGTACTGCAATTATTGAAAGCTATATTATGCTTAATTACAAACTAAGAAACTCAAATATTGGATATAGTTGTTTACTGAGCTCAACACAAACAGCATATGAGGCAAAGACAAGCCAAACCAGTCACTCGTTAGTTATTAATACTGGGTTAAAGATAAAAATGAGATATAAAATGGTAAAAGGATCATTTAAATCTGACATGTTCTTATGAAGTTACAAGAGTTTAAACCATACAGCTGTTTAAAGAACAATATTTGAGAAATCAGCCTTCAAAGTTTATGATTTCATTTATTTCTCAGGCAGAAACCATCACCAAATTGTTAAAAACTAGGAGGACTAGGCCTCTATACTATAGTAGGAGGCCCTGTCTCTTATACACATCTAGATGTGTATAAGAGACAGGTTTAGTGCAATTAAATAGATTTTAAAAATGTTGAAATTTCAGCATGTTTTGGCCATTAATTCTGAAACACAATTTGCGACGAGTGGCAGGTTTGGCTTGTTTTTGCTACATATCTTCAGGTTGAAATGATTCAGACATATTTCAGTACAATACTACATTATTCTTACCTCAGGTATTTGGCAACTGAACTGATTGAGCGTGTGCAGAAGGTCAAAAAGCATATTGTGGCCAACGACAACACGTCCCGACTCCGATATCATGTCAATCACTTTTGAAAATCCGACAGCATCTTCTACCTCATCCTGAAATTTACAAGTTTCAAAAATATTTTTCCCTCCGAAGCCACAATATGTACAATCTTGCCAGGTGACCTATACATATGTCGAGAATATGCTCCATTAGCTTAGAACGCGATTTTCTGGATCCTGAAGCAGTTTTTTGGGAGAAATTATCACATTCTCATGCTGATTCGTTTTCAAATTTCCCTACCGTTGTGAGATTTTACTTCATCAAAGAAAGACACATAAAAATAAAAGAACTATTAGGAGGCAGATGGTATGACTAAATCAACTGATCAAGTGATTCTCCAACCCTCATTAAAAAAAAACAAAAAAAAAAACAAAAACAGAAAAATATACAAATGAAACTAAGAAACAGTAATAATATACATGAGTTAAAAAATACATTCCATTGAAAGATAATTACAAACTGATGTGTCTACATTCAGCATGCAGAACGCAACATCACAACGACGTGCACGCATAGGATCATTTTTAAGGGCGATCCATTCAGACTGCCACCGGTAATAATCAGCAGACGGAATCGTGTCGTCTAGCGCTCCGAGGGAGTGGGGTTGGATTCGTTGTATATGATTATATTCAGCATTGCGTTACATCAATTCCATGTACCATTTGTTACGTGTGGCCACATTCAATCCCTGACAGGATCAGCATGGTTGTGTTGGAACGTGTTAATTTCAAAATTACATACATGAATTACAGTTGCCGGTTACGTGTTTCATACAAGGTATCATAAAATGTGTTTGTGGTATTTCCTGGCAGCAATTGAAGATCTCTGCTAGAAAATTTGTCATCAGTATGATGGGGGTCATACTGCGCAAGTAGAATAGATAATTTATGAAGTTTTACTGACATTGTTTCATGCAGGCAGCAAGTGCAGATGATGCATGATGTTGATGTAATAAATTGCCATTCCTTGTCTTAATTTAACATTTTTAATGCATGGAACATTCTAAATAACATTTAATGACCAAATAAACAATGTAAACCACATTGGTACTTATAGGAACACATGACACTATGTAGAATCCAAGAGTAATATTTGGAAGTTTCTGGAATCTTGGGTACTGTAGAGGCAATAAGCCTACTGGTTAATTATGATGTAAGGTAACCAATGAGGAACTTAGGGAAGATAGAATGCTCTTGAATGCTAGGTTATATAAGCTGATAGTTTTATCTTTCAAAAAACTCTTTTTGAAACACAGATTTTTACATGTTTTCACATTTTCACATGTTTATGTGAATGTTATTGTGTTATTTTGATACCGGATTCTTCTTGGAGTTTATACAGAATAAAAGTTTATTTGAGAGTTGTGTTACAACATTGTGAACTGTGTTTATGTTTTATATGTCAAAGAGGAATTCCTAGTCATTTCATTTCTTGGAAATACGTCAAGTAGGAATTCATGACAGTTGACTGTAGGTAGATGTATTTATATATGATTTTGTATTTCCATGGTCCTAACCTAACAAATATACATTTTTTGTTTGTTTAACAGAATATTATACAGTGGTTCCTTTACAAGAATAAGTCCTTACAGACTAGGGACCACCGACTTCCTTACTTTAAGTTACTTACTTGTGCCTAAGTCAAAAAAGAATTAAACAGAAAAACGATTTATAATATACTTTTTAACAATTTCAAATAACATACAATTTTGTTTTTCATCTTGATCTGTACTGCCTCTAACTAAAATAATGGTTAAAGTAGGCAAATCTTGATAAATCTAAATTAGGGTTGTTTCTAAACATAAAAGGAAAAAGGTCCAAGGTGATAGTGAGCAGGATATATCGCTGAGCAGCATACTTTGGCCAACTAACCCATAATTGAATTAATGAAACTTTAAGCTGAATTAATTTAAATTTAATTTGGGTGTGTATCATGTTGGTCTCGAAACTTCCTACGTTATAAAAACAATTTTTCGTGGAATATGAATTCCGTAGAATGTTTTCCAAAACAGAGAGTGATTCAGAAATTTACAAATAAACCTTATTGTTTACAGTTATTTTTTCAGCACCTTAACAACAGATACAAATCTGCCCATTACAGTAAACAAAAGAAGGACACAGACATTTACAAGGCTAAACACACTTCATTATTACATTGACTATGTAAATAGGGACAGGCTTAAACATAACTGTAAAGTAGGAGCGTGTGGGGCAGCATGTAAGGTGTTGGACTTCCGGTCGTGAGATCGGGAGTTTGAGGCCGACGCTCCTCGCATTGCTCGTGACCTTGGGCAATGCAATTTACTTACGTTTGCCTCTCTCCACACAGGAGTATAAATGGGTACCTGGTAGGGTGATGTGGCATTGCAAGTATTAGTCTGTGTCGGCATTAAATTGCACGCATGACTAGGAATACTACCCAGCGAGTAGACGAGGTTGCACTTTGTGCTGGGTTGATTATGGATCCGATGACCGGGGTAATAACAACAACATCGCCAGCACCTTGTATCCCTAATCTCCATACCATATTATTATTATTATTATTATTATTATTACTAATATTATTATAAAGATAGACTTATATCGCATGTCAGTTTTCAGTAATCATACAGATAAATCATATATTACTTTTTAATTGCGACAAAGAAATACTGATATACATAATTGGAAGATTTCATGTTGGTATTGGGCCAAACATTAACAATTTCAAAATACCAAACATTTAGAAAACTAACAAAAATAATGAAATTATAGGTAAAAGATTAAAATAAATTTTTACCAATTCTGCTTGCATCCTAAGTTGGTCTCGTTTCTTCTTGTCATCCTCTGAAGTAGCTTTTGTAATTACTATGTAGCGTTCTTTCTGTTGATGATTTAATGACGTAGAAAATGTTCACCAATACATAAATGAAAATACAAAACTATACTGTTATTATTATGATTGGGATGCTGAACAAATAAAGTATAAGTTGTAAACAATATACTGTATATTTATTGATACTATACTTTTATTCATTTAGCTTGCAATAAAATAATGATTACAGTTAAACTTGCATAAGTTGATTTTGCCTAACTCGAATAATTTCTAACTTATTTTACATGCCAAATTGCTGTGTTTTCCATTAAATAACAATCTGTAAATCAAAAAGTCGAACAATTTTTTAATGCATTTTGGATTTGACTTAGGCAAGTTCAACTGTACTGTATATATATGACTATATATATATAAAAAAAAACCATTTAATATGAAATTATTACATGAACAATTAAAAAAAAAATTATCAATGAAACACAGATAAAAACACACCTTCTCTCCTGTTTTCGTTTCTACTATTAATTTTGTTTGAAACCTGAAAGAATAATAGGATGAGACAATGACATAGTATTATACGTACTATTATTTCCTTTTTTATTATTATTAAAAACTTTCATTTTCAGCAATAATTTAATAATATTAGCAAATTAATTTTGTTAAATAGTGTACATTATTATTATTAGATATCTTACCAGAAACGACCACAGGTAAGCACATACACACACATTTGATTTATTTTTGTATATGAACATAATTTTTTGTTCTAGAAGAATCTCTAAAAGTTGTTTCATTTGCGAAAGCTTTTTAGTCGTCATTATTTTTTGCGCTTTTGAAAGAAATTTATGCGGTATAAATATCTCAATATTGATGGATAAAAAATAAACATTGTTTTCAACAATTTGCTGATTTTATTGTTTCATTTTAAACAGATGCATTATAATTAGAGTTTTTTATATAAGTGTGCTATTTGTTTTTAAATGAGGTTACTGTATGATGGAATTTGAAATTCGATAAATAAAAGTGAGATGACCTCACAATAGACAATAAAAACAATAAATCTTTGCTATTATTGTTGTTTCAATTATAGACCACACCAGAAATAAGTTGTTTTTTGTACTTTTCTGGACTTTTAACCTTGAAAGTTACTTTTTCACTTCAGAATGAATAAATACAATTAAAAAAAAAACAATATGTTAGTCAAGGGCTTAAAACATGTTCAAATATCTATTTTAAAATTTATTCATAACTTACTTAGTTTCCATAGTCTGATAAATTAACTTTCTTTGAAATCTGTAAACAAGAAAAAACAGTTTGATATACTTTGTATATAGCAGCATATTTACATATGACAAGAAGACTTGAGCATGTTAGGACAGCTGTAAAAATAATTACATCAAAATAAAAATGTTTTTTTTTTTTAAATAATTGTTGTATCGAGTTCAATAAATAGATCATTTAAGTTTCTTGATCAATTAATTTTCAGATTTCATTTCATTTATTTAGTCCAACAAACAATAAAACAGACAAACACAAAATAACAGAGAGGGAAAAAACACTCAATTGACCAGACATGATTGCCAAAATTGAACTCTGATGACAATGAGAACATTAATTAGCATAAAATAATCAAGTAAAAATATCATTAAAATATATATAAATTATGATAATGAACTCTTCTCTCACAATCTTTTTATCAGAACTGACACATACATTTACCATCTTATGAAATGATGTAAAAACTGATAATTTATTTTGCCATGGAAACTTCCTAAAGCTGTTTCCATACTATCAAATTTTCTTTGACAAAAAAAATCTGTTGTATGCTTATAGTCATTAGGTACCTATACATGGTTATGATGTGATGTCATCATGACCATATATAGGCATGTCACATGTTTTTGTCAAATCAAATTTGATAATTTGGACAGGGGCTTAAGAATGTATACATTTTTGTAATTTGACTTTTTGACTTTTTAATTTTTTAATTTGTTGACGTGTGCTTTTTATGTATTATTGTATTTCTATATTTCTCAATTTCACTTTTTCTAATTATACAATTAAAAAAAAAAAAAAAATTACTCAACATTCAATTCAGTTTATACTGCAATTTGTTGTTTTGTGTACAGATTTGATGTTTTTGAAGTAAAGATTCGAAATAAATAAATATGTCACTCTATTTACCCATTGCACGGATCAAGTTGTAATGATGTTTTATCATTATCTTTTAACAAAGCTTCTGTTTTTGATCTGCAAATAGAAGTTAGTGAAATTCATTGAAGCTAATTATGAGACCAGAAAATTTAAATTCATATTTGTCTATGTACCAATTGATAAATCAATCAATAACTTCATTAATAAGGCAAAATTTCAAGTCACTGATTATGGATGTCAATATTTTTGTTTGTCCATATATGGTTCTTCATGCCAAATGCAATGATAGTTATTTAGTTGGCAGATACTAGTACTGCATATTTTTCAATATTATAATTAATATTATTATATAAACAGCTACTTTAATTTAATTATAGCAGCAGTTTGGCGCAGCAGTTGAGGTTTGGGCTTTCAATCGTCAGTCGGGGTTTTTGAGTCTCCGCTGTGCAGATTCGTTTGTTTCCTTGGGCAAGGAAATTTAGCTACATTGTCAGTCCAACCATCTGTATCAATGGGTACCAGCAAACTGCTGGGGACTAACCTGCGATGGACTAGTGTCCCGTCCAGGGGGAGTACAACTCTCATCCGCTTCACACTACAGAAACTGGGGATAAGCTCCAGCCCTATGAGCTCCAGAGGCTCGGAAAGGATTTAGTTGGCGGATACCAGTGCTGCATAGTTTTCAATATTATTATTATATAAACAGCTACTTCAATTTAATTTTTATTTATTTATTTTAGGCACTGCACAAGGCCAAGGTTGGATATGGCAAACAGTGAACATAATGACTTTTCTAAGTGGCATATCCCTTCATAATACAAACATAAACAAAAGATGCTCAACATAAACTCAGTCTCATTATGCGGATTAGAAAGGGGAGTTGTTTTAGTTGTGAGAAAAAAATCTTGTTACTGTGACAGGAATTGAACCCAGGACCCTGGAATTAGGAGGCAAACACCTTACCCACCAAGTCATTCAACTCCACTTCAAATCTAAGTTAGGTCTTTGCCAGGCCAAACATCAAGAGACAATCACTGCCTATGGAGATGATTGGACTTTGCCTAAAAAAGGGGTTTTTAAAAATGTTGATTTAAGTCTTATTCTTACACAATATTATTGATGAACTCCTTATGCTCATCTGGAATGATGACGGGACCTTTAGCTGGAGGTGTTCGGAAAGCAGGGCTGTTTGGTAATATGATTCCCTGCCCAGCATATTTCTGCAGTATCTCTTCTCTCATGGCATGAGCATTGTTGGATGTCAAATACGGGATTCCTGTGAACAGAGAAGAAAAAAGAGAATTAAATTAGCTTTTGATAGCTAAACTTTAACAACTTTTTCACATAAATGTGTTTGTACTACAGTAGTTTACTCTGTAGCTATGACAGCAGTGTAATAATAACAAAAATAAAAAAATAATTTGTGATTTATATATCAGTTCATCTGCTATTGAATAATGGTGAATTTTTAGAACATTATGTAGGTACAGACCTCTATGCTTATTTAGTCTGAAAAGCAATATATCAAATATTAAAAATTACACTATTTATTTTTAATGTAAATATTCTTTAATTTTGCCTAACATTCAATTATTCATTTCTTTCCATCTCCATTTGTTTTCTTTTACTTTTTTACTATTTCATTTTCTTCTCCTTTTTGAAGCGATTAACAACAAAAAAAAAAGATAAACCATGAAAAAAAAACATTATTAACATTACAAGATTAGATTACAATTCAATGGGAAACTTGCCTTCTCGGAAAAGTTTATTGAAGTCAAAGTTGTGGGTGGCAAGAAAGTCAATGCTAGAACTCTGAAAAAACAAAAACACATTATTACTACAAACTAAACTAAACTAAACTAACTAAACTAACTAAACTTCTGGCTAATCCCTTTTTTTTCATTCATGTGTGTGTATCTCTCGTCAGTCATAAATTATGGAGGAATTTTAAGCTGAAAAAAAAAATTGTGACATGAATTAATACTTGAACCTAGGAATAAAGCTCAATCAATCAATCAATCAAAGTGACATTTATTAACTTCCTACAGCTGTACAATCATTACTGACATTGAAAACTAACCTGACACAGAAATCTTGGATCAGGTGCATGGCGATTGAGAGGAGTTGGAAATACATAGAAATTGAAAGGATAAACTGTGTACCTGTAGAAAAGTCAAAACCAATGTTAAAATACCTCTTTTTTTTTAAATTTATTTTGTGTCCTGGTTATCACATGTAGTATGGTCTATAACAATTACAATCTTAACCCTCTAGATACTGTCTTCGACTGTAGTCGAAATTGACCTCAAACCGAGAATTCCCATTTTCGACTGCAATCGAAATTTTGTGACTAAAAAATAGGTGGTTTTCAAATCGCTCTTCTGCTTTTATTTTAGCTCCAATACGTCAGAAATTTTGAACACGCATGCGTGAAGCTTTTGTCTTTCGAAATCTGTGAAGAACTCACATGCGCTTATATAAAAATTTTTAGAAATATCAATTTGAAATCGTTAATTGCCCGCTGTAATTAGGCCCATTGTTTCATTAAATGCTACCTGAATACATGAGGCCATTCTATTATTTTTTCATAAGCTCGAGCGTAAAAAATTAAATTTTGGTGAGCTAGCCCTTGTTCTTTGACCTTTTCTTCCAAAAATTGAAAAAGGTGTCTTTTTAAATTATTATATAGGCCTACCATTCTACTAAATTTTACGATGATCAATTCATCAGATTTTGCGTAATTTTACTAACAGACAGATAGATAGACAGACAAACAGAAAGAGAGTGGTGAATACATAACCTCCTTCAAAGGAGGAAAAAATAATTAAAATAATACCTACTTTGAACTTTTACCATTGTACTTGAAAATGCACAAACCAAACTGCACCAACATGAAGTCCATTGAACCCTTTAAAATATAATATACTATTTATTTATTTAATGAAATATTACTGGTGGAGCAACCATTGCACTGAAAACACTGTAAAACAACAGTGTAGCAATTGTATGGAAACCAGACTTTACTCACAAAGCTTCACAACCTTGAAAAAAACCTCAAAGAGGAGCTGTGCAGAATTCAACATTGTTACAATTACGGGGGTGTGGGCAACCAATGAGCAAAGTGGTCGTTGTCGGGCATCACTCAAAATGTTTCAAGGTGGTCTAAGGACAAAAAATATGACAATTTAGGGGCTCTTAGATTCATATTAAATTGATTCTTTAAATAGTCTACTACTAATATATGTAGAAAATTATACAACTTTTTTAGTTACTGAGGAATCTTGAAGAGGGGATGCTGATGGGGATGCAAAGGTGAAGTGGAGGGGCTCGATGATCAGTTAAGGGGGACTAACTCGCAAAATAATGTGATTTTAGGAGCTTTTTAACAAATTGACCGTGATTTTTTTTTTTTGGGGCGGGGAAGCCTGGGGGAGGGGCGCCTGAGGGATGGGCATGCATTCCCCGCGCACCCCCTAGATACGCCACTGATACCTTCTTAACAGATTACTGATGGAGGATTTTCTTAATGGTGGCTGAAAAAATGTGTTTTTGTCTAACATTCTATGGCTTACTTGTCTTAACTTTTGGTATCTTTCTTCTGGAGTGTCGAAAGCATTTGGAATAACTCTGCTGTCGTAGTGTAAACCAGTGAATTCTCCATCAATAGACACAAATGAGCTGTCATTTAAAACATTGGATATTATTCCTAATGCTTCTTTGAAATCTGAAAAAAAAATCATTCAAATAAATTAGGCTTCAAATAAACCATGAAAGTTATGTTATTATGCAGGGGATACTTTCAAAACTTAACTAAAAATTGTGTAGTCTAAACTGGCTTTAAAAATGTGCATATAAACATAACCAAGCCTGTGTGATCAACTGGTCGGATTTTGAGACTAATTTGTTTCAAGCCTTCATTTATCCCTCTCTTCTTGTACAGTATATCTAAGTTTTTAATATTCTGTGCAAAGTCCGGATTTTTAATTTAGTGCAAAATTCAAACAAGACATCCAAAATGTATAATAATCTTGCACTGGGAATATATCGCCTGGGCTAAAATTAAGACTTAAATTCCTTTTCCAAAATTCAGGCAAAATTAACTTAGGCACAGACCACCTTTGGTAATTAATTTTTCGATAGGAATCCTTTTTAATATTAACTTAATATTATTAGGGACTATTATTATTACTATTATTATTATAATTATAATAATAATTATTATTATTATTATTATTATCACCAAAATATTGCCATCACCGAAATATTGCCTGCAGATCATCCACCCCACAGTGGAATGAATCTCTCTGATCATCACTAGCCTAGGTTGCTTAAGGAGGTTGGATGAATCTAATTTTGTCTAGTGGCCTAGGCAAGATGGTAGGCCTATGCCTATCTACAAAGCTCAATCATCTGTCACTGTTTTGTTAGCACTGGGACTAGCCTAAAGCAGTATACCCATCCTAATCTCACTCTGTTCGCTAATGTCTGGACCAAGGACAATATCTTTTTTCAGCCCCCTTTTCTGAGCTGCGACGATGGTCCACGAGTCACGGAGTCAATAGTTAATACATTGATTTTCTTTAAATTCTTTTATTTTTGTTTCAACAACAAAAAAAACAATCAAAAGTATAACCAATCTGTAGACATTTGTCAGCCACAATACATTATAAAAAATAGTAATTGTTGAAAATAGTTTTAAAATTATAATTAAGAACATTCATCAAATTCAAAATTATTCAATTATAATATTTATCATCAACAAATAGCAGAACAAATCTTTTAATTAAAAAAATAAAAAACGATCACAATTTTACAAAACATTAATTAAAATGTGTGTTGAAATTACTAAACTAAATCACTGAGCATATTTTGAAAACTAAAGATACAAAATGGCAACTACTTATTTTAAAATTTAAACCTAGCACTAGGCCTACACAAATTCACAACACACAGAGCCCAGGCACCCCGAGTCTGGCGGTAGGCCTAGGCTAGATAGAGGAGGCCTAGCCTAGTAGGCTATATATACTAGCTAGCTACCCTACTAGGCCTAGTATATTAATATTAATAGTATACTATTTTATCCCTAAAATCATTATTTAAATCGTTAGGCATTTGATTAGTTGACTAACTTTTACGTGTGACGTCCATAGCAATGATGTACTCATTTATAACAGACGAAAATTAGGAGCAAGCCAAACATTAAACAACGAAAAATTAAAACGAATTCACAACTTGCGCGAAATATACTTGACCTATGACAGAGGTTTATCATCAATTTACCCAGAATGCGTCAGTGTCGGGGCGTTAGCGACACAAAAAATCCAATACAGTAAAATAAAAAGAAACAGATTCAGAGGAGCGCAGACTATCTCGGAGGTGAGGCGGTTCTGAAAATGGATCTGAAATTAGATGGTTACGTTGACGAAGAAGGAGATATTATTGCTCTTATTTTTATTGGAGTATTTTTATCATTCGTTATATCACTAATTTGCTATTGTAAGGGACGTACAAGGAGTAAAAGAACAGAACTTTTAGATTTCTAATCTGCTAGCCTTGCTTGTTGAAGAAGGACCGCGTGAGGGGTGGTGAGTCATAATTCCATGGATTATGAAGCTTAAGGCTTAGCCTAACTATGCTTAGGCCTGCTGTACCTCACTAGAGCTAAGCCTAGCACTGACTAAACCGGGTTGGCTTGTCGATGTATTGGAGAATTTTCTAGCCTAATATTAGTCATACATTTTAGTACATATTTTCAATCCCAATCACACACAGTTGGTCACCTAAATTTTAGCTTAAAATTATAAAAAAGGGAAAAATTATTAAATAGTGACAAGTATTTTTTTAGTAGGCTAGGCCCCTAGGCCTAGTTAGGCTAGGCCTAGGCCCCTAGGCCTAGGTAGACTAGGAATTTTACTCCAGCCTAGGCCTACAGTTGGTCTAGTAGTAGCCTAGTACTGTATTACTTTTAGTATAGTAGTTCTAGGCCTAACTACTGTAGAGATTCCCTAAAATATTATAGGCCTACACATACCACAGGAATTATTATTTACTAGCCCTACTACTAGGCCTTAACTTAATTATTTTAGGCTAAGCCCCTAGGCCTAGGGCAGTATGGTCGGAGCGGCCGCGAGTCGATATGCAGCAATTTGCATGGAGCGCCAATCGTGTAGTATGCAAAATGTACAGTATGTTGGACAATGGGCATCGGAGTTCGATATTAATACTGTTTTAATCAATTATCAAATTAATGTATATTTTCTTTCATAATTTATATATAGCCTATATAAATCGAGACTTAATATTTAGTTAGTTTGTTTATTTTTTATATCAAATATTATGATTTATATTAGGCCTATGCCTTTCTTACAGAAATGGATGTACTTTTCAAATTGCTTCTTTTAGTTTATTTATTTGAATTTCACTAACTTAATTAATGTGTTCAGTTTGTTCTTTAGTGAATGAACATCTGTTTGTCATTGCATTTGAAGATGATTGATAATTAATAATAATAATAATAACAATAATAATAATAATAATAATAAATTAATAATAATAATGACAATGCACAGTATCACTAAGTGTAGACCTGTTTTTCACGTTCATCAAATTTTATTACATTACGATATGAACGCTATATACCGTACCGTATCCCAATCAATCGGTATAGCGCTACTGGCGTTCCATACATTTTGAGCGCGGCCGCTACGACCCTAATCCGGCCTAGGTAGACTAGTAATTTTACTCCAGCCTAGGCCTACAGTTGGTCTAGTAGTAGCCTACAGTAGTACTGTATTACTTTTAGTATAGTAGGCCTACAGTAGGCCTAACTACTGTAGAGATTCCCTAAAATATTATAGGCCTACACATACCACAGGAATTATTATTTACTACTACTAGGCCTTAACTTAATTATTTTCAAATATGTAGCAGGCCCTGTATTATTTTTGTAATGTTTATTGTTGTCGTTATTATTACCGTATCATTAATATTATTATTAGTCTTAATTAATACTGTGTATTTAATGGTGTATTCATTTATTGTTTCCACATTTTAATGGGAAAAAAGTGAAAATTAAAAATATTTTTTTTAATGATTAAAATTGTCTAAATTAAATGTTTTAAACATTATTTTGAGACTTTATTTCATCTTGTACAGTAAGTGGCAGGTTTCCCGCTATTGAGTAAGTGTATGAACAAATAAATAAAGATTGGACTGATCGCACGACGATGATCTTAATTTAACTAAAACAGTATACTGTATGTATATAATTACTTTATTTCAATCATATTTAGAAGGAAGCAAAAAGGGCAATATTTACAATTACAGTAATTTGAATATATTATTTTATTCCATAACCTCTCATAAATAACTCGTGCGCCCTGCAACTGAGTGTAAATTAATAATTTGTGGCCGAGTTCACTTGTGGCTGAGTTGAGTGTCCAAGTTGACCTGTTTCCGATTTTATATTTTCAACATTTAACAAGGAAATGCACAGTGTAGATATTGATTGTGTTTTATCTAATCTCTGAATGGTGGAATGCTTGAGAAATCAATGCGTTGTGCAGGCCTGGAAAAAAGTCTGTTGTGCCTCAGACCATGAAAATTATCTTAATAAATTCCTCCAGCACCATCAAATGTTATTTACACTTATGGAGCCAAATACTGTAGTAATGGTTTTTGAACCAGCAAATAAATTCTAAAAGTTCCTCTAGTAATGCACCTAAGCACTATATATCCTAACAGTAGTTTTTTTTCTAAAAATGCCTCCGGTGTGCAAATTTTCCAGCCCTGGGACTGTGCGTGATACTGTACAGTGCAGTACAGTACCTTGTACCGTCATGGTTGATGTGTGTGTTTGTACAGTTTGGGTCATTTACAATAGGGTTTGCTTCTTTGTGGGGTTCTTAACCATGTGTCAAAATTTCCTTTCAAAAGATTTACTGTACTGTAGGTACTTCCTCAATATTTAATTTCCTTTTGTATAAAACTTTTCCTTATTTTGTATAAAACTCACCTTCCTTGTAAAATTATGTCACATGCACAGTACATAAAGTGTAAAAACAGTACAGTAAAGTCGCTTAATCATTTTGACACACCTGTTATTTATCAGCAACATCCTTCTCTCTATCATTTGGTTTATGTTGGTGCATTATGATGATTGGTTTTTTCTGACTATTTGTATTGTATGTTCTTTTGTCTTGTACAGTATATTTTTTTGCCAGGATGAGTAAAATAAATTAACTATACAATAGTATTACAGCTTACTGTAAATTTTTTTTTTAATGAATAAATGTTATGTTCTTTTTTTCTTTTTTTTTCTTTTTGCAGATTCCAAACGTATATATATTTTCAATGAATTTTATTTTTTCGTAATCTGATTGAATATGGCTGGATCATACAATCAAGAACTTTATGCGAGAAGGAAGGGAGGTTGTGGGCCTCCTGATGACTTCTTAGGAGCTGGTGGCCTGCATCATCAGCAAAGTGTCTTTCAAGATTTACCTGTAGAGACTACTACTGGAAATGAAAGTTTATCAGAACAAAATCCTCCAGATAACAGAACTACAGAATCTGGCCACTCTGCATTGAGCAGTAGTGGCCAGAAGTCATTTGGACGTTCCGTATCAGTACGAGATTTTACCTGTGCTTGTTGTAGTGATTTAATGATAAGCCCGACTACACTAAATTGTGGACATAGTTTTTGCCGTCTTTGTATTGCGCAATGGTGGAAAACCTCTGGAACATGTACTTGTCTTCTCTGTCGCCAAGAGTGGACTGGATTTCCTAATGTGAATTATATTTTAAGGTTTGTATGTTTATTTTTGTTAAAGATTTTTTTAATCTCAGTATAAGTTAAAAAATTAAAATCTTACTGTAAAATACTGCATAATGAAAGGGTAGTGACATCACTGTGGATTTGGTAAAATTTAAAAAGTAAATTCACAATGTACTGTAAGCGTTTTATGAACTTTTTTTTTTTTTAGTTCATTAAATTTATGTGTCAGAATTTTTGTTCAGACAGCCTACCGCCTGAAGTAAAGTTACGACAAACGTAATATTTTACGACGAGTGTCCACATGATGCTTACCCAGAGCATAATGCTCTTTTTAATTCAAAGCTAGGTCAAAGCTAAGAAGTAATTATGCAAATTTTAATCACCAATTTCGTTGTCTCTCAATGGTTATTTTGCACAAAATTTCTTGAATATTCTAAACAATTATGAAAACATCATGTCTACAAAGGTTTAAACAGGAAATGTTATTTTGACATTCATTTGTAGGTGTTTATTTTTTGAAAAAAATCGAGGTCAAAATACTAATACAAGCTCTGAAGAAAGTACGTCTACACCATCAATGCGCTACAGCTCTGAGGGCGTATCCCTTATCTTTCTTGTGTACGCAGAAATAGCACACTTATTGTACTCCTGACGTTGCTCTGGAGTACAGTAAATCTTCAGTACAGTAACGTTGAAGCATACAAAGAGTGTCTTCACAGGCGCTACCCAGGGCTTACAACAAGTACTGTAAGCTGCTAATTCAGGACTTATTTCTGACTTGTCTTTAATGTGCCTTGATTTACTTTAAGATGGTATCAGAAGGTTGTAGTTACTGTGCAACCTTTTGCAAAATTTCAACATTTTACCCCAAAATAAATTACAGGTATCCCTCAAGCCACTTTTGAGACCAGGGTTTCCATGGTCTTTAGCTGTTTTAGTCTCTAATTGGAATATAATAACAGTAAAAGACGTTTGTTAATATGAGACCACATAAAAAGGGTCTATAATTGGAGGTGGGGTCTTTAATTAGAGAGACCTGTATGTTTTTATATTCCGTCTTCTGGTACAGTACTCATCCACAAGTTATTTTGGTGGGAGGGCTTATGCGCTGGGTTTACAGAGTTTACACAGTTTAGAAATTTATTGTACCCTAAACCTATTTGTGCAATTAACCATCAACATACATAGAAACTGATAAGAGTAATGATATGAGTATATTTCAAAGTAAACAAAACTGTTCAACCAAAAAAATGGAATAAGAAAAATGATTCCATTCCTGCATGTTTTGATAGTGTGTTAAAAGCGTTAACTTAAGGCCCAGTAAAAAAATTATTAGTTTATCACCCTCGCGCGCATGTCTTTTATGGTACTGGGGAAAAAAATTTTTTGAAAAATTTAAAAAAATTAAAAAAAAAAAATTTTGGAAATTTTTTTTATTTCTTTTATTTATTTTTTTCATTTATTTTATTAAATAGTTAGTAGATATTGTTTGCATTATCTAAATCATGTTTTACTTTAAATATCAATGCACCAGCAAACAACCCAAGGGTGATATTTGGCTTTAGCAAAATAAAAAATTAAAAAAAAAAACCTCCCTCCCTCATCACTTTTCCTGCCCAGATAGGGTAATAAACTAATAATATTTTTTATAGGGCCTAATCTGTCTCTGTGTGAAATCGCACTGTGAATTCGTTGTATGCCCTATATACTGTAAGTAATAATACATGTAAAGTTCACATGGAAATCATGGTTCACCATTTAGCCAATTCTTAGGGGAATACACCTAGATTTAATGTGATTTGCAGATTACAGTCCAAAACATGTTGATTACTGTACATTAGTTATTTCTGAAGAAATCCTATGGAAATATTTTACTGTACTCTGTTCTTTTGTATTTTCTGCAATTGTGTTTTAGTCTGTATTTTTAAATAACAACAACAAAACTATTTATTACTATAATGTATCTGTACATGTACAGTATTTCTTCTGTATGATTTGGTGTTGAGTTGTACAGTACAGTAGCATACATTAGTTTTTGAGAGCTAACTTTATCTTGAGAATAGATGTTCAATCACTTGCTGTGCATCTTAATGGACATGATCGAGTGCTTACGACAAGTAAACTGCCATAGTAATTCAGAGCTTACTACTCAAATTTACTGAGTCTTTATAGAAAGCTGAAAATGCTTAAATGTTAATATAATACCAAGCTAAAGATATAATGAAAAGCAAGTTTGTGATGCCATATAAGACCTGTTCTAGTTATCAATTGAATTAACCCCACAGAAATCTGCTAGATACAGTAAGAAGTAAAAAGTCACAACATTCGGGTATGGTCACAGCTACTATATTCTAGTGAATTGCCAACACAGAAACCATGGATGAGTTAAAACAGTACCCGGAAAAAAAACAAAAAAAAAACAAACCATCAAGCAGTAGACACACGCTCCCGCTTGTAGTTTATTTTTGTTTTAACTGTTGGCTAGGATTTGTCTTTCAAGTAAATAAAGGGCAACACTTACTGTGCATGTAGGTCACCTTGTACAGTGCCCATGTGTTGTACTTTGTCCCCAAGTTTCTAAATTTAGGTGGTATTTACTATTAGTCACCAAGGATGTGAAGGTTTGAATGCACTCATGATTATTGTTTTCTCACCCACACAGGTCAACAATAGAAAAAGCTTGTAGTGAAAGGTATCATGAAAAGGCTGCATTACTTGAAATTAAAGAAAATACTGATCTTTTAAAAGAATTTGAAGAATTCGGTCGCAGGCAAAAAGAAAAGCGGTCACAGTCCAACCACAGACCACAAGATTTCTGGTGTGGAACCTTTTTGACATTGGTCCTCATTTATGTAAGTACAGTATTTACAGTATACACTCAATGCTACAGTCAATGGTCATATATTTTTATGGCGCCTTCCACAGTAAAAACTGTCTCGGCATTTTTTAGCCACTAAGGAACTAAAAAAATGTTGTTAATGAACAGACACGAACTAAAAATATAATAATGATGTGACATTTATATCAGTGCATATTTTGATAAACTACTTTTGTGCACTTTATATAAATTGCGGTAACCACTTATCTATATCAAACACCACTAATCATTTCAGTATTAATTGGTAAGATATTAACACAGTAGTTACATGGTCACTAGCTAAATGTCGTTAACAAACTCAGGGCCCAGGGTAGGTTTAATTAATTTCATCAAGGTGTGCTTGTGCAAACCATATGGTTGTGTTCATGCAGTAATTATGTGAGGTTTCATTGCAAATCTTGGTACCAAATGAAAAAATTATTATTACAAAACATTGATATGGTCAGCTTTTGTCTTTGTATAACAGAAAGTTTTCTAGATTAGAAAAGAAATAGAAAATTAATCATTTTGACTTTCAGGTGTCTGAAAAACTTTGAAGAAAGTTATCTCGAAAGATAAACAACAGATAACTTTTGTTTGTTGTTTTTTTTGTCAACTCTGTATAACACATCCCTACAAATTCTTAATAAAAAAAGATTGCTATTATTAAATTTACTCAGCACATTAGCTATTCCTGTCGTAACTTTACAGGATTTTTTTCCTTCGGCCAAAAACAACTTCACTCTCTAAGCCCCATATTATAGTGAGACTTACGTAGTTTAACGTTTGTAGAGCATCTTCTTTGCATGCTTCTCTTGTAAAAGGATTGGCACTTACAGGGTAATAGTAAAATAATAAAGTTTGTTATTCTTGGCCCTGGGCTTAAAAAATTTTAATTAATTATTAAAAAATATTTTGTTTTAAATAATGTTGTCATGATACCTCACTTCAACTGTATCCTGTATTTCAGTGTCATCGAATAATACTGTAGTTTTCAGTGAACCAAGTATACTTACAGTACAGTATGTATAGTACCTGCCTAAAGCCTACTGTGTATTGCTATCTCCTCAGTCCTGCTACAGTGTACAGTAGCTCCTGCTCACCTTAAAATGTCTGTTCTGTAGCATTAAAGACCATATATTTAAGATTGGAAGGCCTAAAAAATGGTACTAAAAAGAAAAATCAATTTACACAGAAATACTATAAGAGCAGATAAGCTACATTGCTGTAATTTCATTGAACATTAAGTAATCTCCACATATATGAGTAAGTGTTTATATATTGCGCAAGTCCTGGTCACTCAACTTTCTTTTTTTGATTTGACTTTCAAATACAGTAAGCTAAAAACTCTTTTGGGATTAGTAGGGCCTATTTTCTTCATTCATTTTTTCCTCGAAATGTATATTGTATGTTTTACAGTGTATGCCTACTACAATGACTGACTTTAAAATTAATTCATGAGTTCGGTTGCTACAGGATGTGAAATGTGCGTGTACCTTGTGTAGCCTTTAAATGTCAAACAGTACCAAGAGGAAATGGTGCAATGCATTTTAATTTGTATTAATTACCAGTAGGATGTTGGCTTTATGACGTGCACAAGGCAAGAATCGCAGACAATAGGTACTGATACTGTAATATGTTATCACGACAGATCCTGCCACAAAGAAACTGTTTTGTCCTTGATATTAAAACAAATAGGCATACCAAAGATTCATTTAAAGGTATCCTGTGATGTAATTTCCAAAGCAATCTTTTATTTTAATTACTAATATTACATTAATATTGTTATATATATTTGGGTATATTTTATTGCAAAAAAGAAACTCGCATACAAAACAGTCTATAATATAAAATTACAAAAATATATAATTGGCAATTAAAAATTTATAAAAATCCTTATTAAAATAGTGCAGTATTAAACATTAAAATTTACATTTGAAAGGACAGACGAAGTTGTTATATTTCCAGAGCAATTTTTTTATGTAAATTAGTAACATTAATATTGTTTTTTTATATATTGTTGTATTTTGACCATCCTGTAAGTGGCGATATATCATTGTTGGTGTGGTAATAAATGAAATATATAAAAAAAAATAATAATATTAATTTACTCTTAATTCTAACAACACACATTGCAGCTCTTTTAAAATAGTTATTTAAAATTCTCTAAAAGTTGAAGAATCTTAATACTTGAAGAGTAAATTTTCTAGATCACGTCCATTCAGCAGTTTTTCGTGGTGGTACATTGTGTAACTTCACTTTCATTTTGGTAAACTCTGTATAGATTTTTTCCAATTGTAGTGTATTGTGTGTGTGGAGCAAGGCTCAGTGATTATGTCCCAGTATTTCATTCTTTCCATTATAGCTTGTTGAAACTGAATTCATCCTGACTTCTTTGGTTTTTATCAGCTAGTCATGGGAATAGTTAATGCCTTTCCTGCTATTATTCTAATCAGATTTTAAAAATGTTCAGAAACTGACCATGTATTTAAGTGCTTTTTTCGAAACTGCAGAATGCAGCAGTTTTAATTTCAGGTTAAAAAGTCCATTAGTAAGCCATAATAATAGATAAATGTAGAGTACATACTGTACCTGTAGGACATTAATATTTATTTGTTTTATCAAGTATTGTTGTTTGTATGTAGACCTACTGTAAGCACCAGTGTTTACATTGCTGAAGAGTTCATGTTAAAAAACTCATACTGTACATAAATAGATTTATGTTTTATGTGTATATTTTTAGCACTTTAAACACAAACAATATTAACAAAGATACTAGAAACATGAGTACGGTATACCCATCTTGCAATTCAGTAATAGAGTTTTTATCTGTGAAGAGTTCTACAGTATCTTGTGTTTCTAATATCCTTGGTATTAAATATAAAGTAACTTAATAACATTCATGATTGTCAGTTTGTAAATATAGTGTGCATTTTCCATTCATTTATTGACAACGTAGCTGCTTAACTGTAGGAAGAGAGGATTAAGCTTTGTCTGATAGGTATTTATTTATAAAGAATTTGCTTTATAATCAGTGGCAATCACACATTTCCGAGTGGTGCATCCAAAAATATGAAACAAATTAAATACAATCAGATATTATTATCCTGAAGACAACTGAAGCAACTCAATTGAAACATTGAGACATTCTCAACAAACAACAGTTCTTTTCAGAACTATCTACAGTGCGTGCTGTACTGCAAGCATTAATATATTATAATTAATTACAGAACTTCGCCATGCAAAACTTCAAACAATATTTAGATTTTCAAATAATATGATTTTGCAATTCAATTTTTTCATTGAATTTTGGAGGTCTACTTTTGGTAGCTGCACTACTGTATGTAGTTGGAAAATTCATAATGCTATAAACAAATGATATTTAACAATAGAGTTTAAATTTGGGAGTGAAGTACAGTATCTTTGATTTTCAAGAAGCAGATCTACTGTATCCAATTGACAGTATTAATAAAATCTGGATTAAAGTAGGATTTGTATGATTATTTTAATACATTTTAGTGCATCGTACCTACTTTATCGTACAGTAACTGATACAAGCCCAGCTGTACATTGCAGATATTTAATCATTTGTTTATTTTCTAGAGCTCTAAAGTCATAATGTATAATGTTGGTCTAAAGCCAGGCCTACTGTACTATCTGGCAGTTAATAAAATTGTTGCATTTTGTTTGATTTTTAGGATATTTGAAAAAAAAAATATAGGTTTTTCCCCTTCCTCATCTCTTCCTACCCCTCCTAATAGTGGAGCAATTAAATGTGTGATTTATTATTATTTGACCTACAACTGTACCTTTCTGCATTATGAACACCCAGTTGCCGGTAGACTATTCACAGGTGCTGCAAGATCAATATATTGAGCTGGCAACTGAGGTTCAGTGTAGAAGATCGTTATCATATCGGTTGTCATTCAAATATTAACCTTGAATTGAATGAATAACATCTCTCCTAGTTGTAGAGGGCTACAGGACTTGAACTTCAATAATATTACCGTATACTATATATTATGTAGGTTTTGATGCGCTCTACACAGCAAGTCTGAAAGCACTTCAGCACATTATTACCCCAGTCATCATTGGAATGATGCCTATAGGGGAATACCATAATTTTCTGCATGCATTGAAGTACTGTATATCAGCACATTTTGCACTCAAACCTCCTCAGGTACCTACTACTGGGTGGAGAGAAGCAATGCAGAAAGTGCCGTGCTCGAGGACACAAATGAAATGCACAGCGGGGGATTGAAACCCGACCTCGAGATTGGGAAACAAACTGTTCATGCTGCGCACAGCCGCTTCCGACTTTATCATTTTCTAAGTAAAATGATGATCAGTATTTAGAGGGACTGTATTACTATACCTATGTTTTTGCTTTACTGTACCAATTTCAATTTCAATTTTATTCAGAATTTGATTCATAGCAAAAAGCTGAATTGTATCAAATTTACAGTATAAGATTCTAATCACTAAAAGGCTTAAATTCAATAAAAAGCATTAAAATTCAATGCACACAAAATATAATTTTGATTAAAATTACCAGAATAATAATTTATTGGAATATAATAAAAATGTACAAATAAAGACAAAAGCAAAATGAGAAACATTAAAATTGGGAAAGATTTAAATTTTAAAAAAGCATGAAAAGATAAAAACATATATTCTTAAAAAATAAATTCCACAACAGACCAAGCAAGTAAATAAAATTTGTTATTTTACAAAATTGATTAGGGCCTACAATACTGTACCACACTTTTGTTAGCTAAAAGTCTGGTACAGTACATCGTCACTTCCTCTGCCCTCCAGACAGGCATACACATATTTCCAATCGTCTGCTTTGGCAAAGCAACATTTTTTTCCTGATACAAATTCTCAACTACTAAAGCTTTGGCACTACCTGCACAGGCTTTTTTTTTATTTCAAGTTCTAAACCATGATCACTGTATCATACAAGGCATACTGTACTATCCCAAAAAGCATTAATGGCCAAAAAGGGGACACGCAACATTTTATGTGATGTTTATACAATCAGTTAACTAACGCTCAAGTTACTCTATGAGTTCAATGTATTACAGCTTCTAAATACTAATTACACAGACTGTTACCATTTTGCTGTAAGGCTACAGTATATTACTCATCATATTTGATAATACAGTACATTGGTTTTGGGATGACATTTTAAAATTAATTGAGGCAGGATCCAGGAAATAGTAAATTATAAAGGCTTCTGAACAAAACAATTTTTATTCCCTCTGTGTTGGTGCAATAAACCAGAAATAGAAATGTGGAATATATGTTTTGAAAAATTTCCCTTATGAAATTGTTTACACAAGTCAGTGGCAGATCAAGGAATTTGAAATAGAGGGGGCCCAAAGAGGGATGTTCACAGATGAAGGGTCTATACTATCTCAGCCCCAACATAGTTGGGGATGAGGTAAGAAAATTTATGATTGTCGCACCTCTAGATGGCCGGAAATTTCAGTAGAATTTTCTTTTTTATTTCAATTATCAAAATTTTCGGATTGGAAGGCTTACCGAACCAATCAGAAAACCGAATCAGTTTGTATGTAAGAATAGGGACACTGGCGTTCAGTGCATCGGAAACGCGGATCTAACATGAATGCAGTTTTACTGTATCAATAAAAAGATTTCTTTGACGTAGACAGGATCAGGAAGAGCCCAAAATTTACAAAATAAAAATAAATGAGGGATAAAAGAATATTACTGTACATTTAAATTGAGACTGACATTGCCATTTCTGGCTACCTAGAAGTCTCATAGACATAAAAATTGGTGGGTTTGAGGTGGTATTGATCACCTATCTGTAAAATTGGCTTTCTGGGTCCCCTCTATTTCAAATTCCAGAAAGGAAAAATAAATGTAAAAATGTCTCATTCATGTTATTCTTTTTTTCAAAACCTAAAATAAGAACTTGCTTTAGTTTTAATCTTATCTTTCTTTATATCATCCCCTGTACGCAGGTTGTGTATATTTTATGGAATTGGAGAAGTTCGGATCAAGATTTATTGGTCCACAAACCAGTTGGCAAGTGGAGCCCCGTTGATGTTGCCTCATGGGTTAGCGGCCTAGGTGAATGGGCCCACAGCCAGTATTCTCAGGTGTTCTTGGATAATGCCATTGGTAAGTATTATTCTATAGCCTAATCTAAGCCTACTGCGTGTCTTTCTGTTTTAGCCTGGCACAGAATTTATATTACCTGTAGGTAGAATTTAGAAAGTTAACCTAAATGTGTAATTATATAGTACTATAGATTTGTCATAATCAAAAAGGAAGTTTGTCAGATGAATGCAAATTTTTCTATACGACAGAAGGTTTTTTATAGGGGACTGGAAATGTATCTGCAAGGCTATATTTACATAGTTAGTTACCAACCGTCACGCATTTCTAAGAGATTTTGGTTGAAACATGCATTTTGCAGAAACACATGCATGATCAGAAATTTGTCACGCATTTAGCACAGGTCTATGCGTGATAAGGAATTATTACAAAAAGGAGAGAAGTATTTAAAGTAAAATTAGAAGAAATTGGTTTTATTAAAAATTTTAAAACAGTCATGCAGTAACTTCAGTCATTTGACAGTATTTACGTGAATACTTAATTCACTGACGCATCACTGGTGGAAGTGGTTTGCTGAAGCAGGAACTGTTTGGTTTCCCAACCCCGAGGTCGGGGTTTCAATTCCTTGCTGTGCATTTCGCTTGTGTCCTTGAGTAAGGCACTTTATCTGCATTGCTTCTCTCTACCCAGGAGTATAAGTGGGTACCAAAGGAGGTTCAAGTGCAAAATGCACTGATATATTTCATGCAGCAAACTATGGAATTTCCCCCATAGGCATCTGGTAATAATGTGGAAAAACGCTCTGAGACTTTGTCTAGAGCGCTATGTAAAACCCTCATTAGGCTTATTGTTATTATTGTTATTATTAATCAGTATGCCTCTTCATTTTGTGTTTAAGTAATGAATGTTTGTGTCCACAGTTTGGGTGCTCAAATTAAACATAATGTACAATGAAACTCAGATTGTTGGTGGCTTTATTAAAAATGTTTTTGTACCCAGTATTGTCAACAAACGCTCCCTGAAATTGATTTAAAACAGCTTAAAAATGCTCAGATCGTCCGAGCGCCAGGATCAATGATCAATGATCTGAGGGCTTGCTTCTTTGACTGTAGTTTTGATCAGTTGTGGTCTTCAATTTTTTGTAACAGGCCAATGGCCTGAAATATATCAGTGAATTAAATGTCTTTGAATATGATAAAATATTCATATTTCATTTAAAAGAATTACTGGATATTTTGGGATAAGAACATTTTAAACTACTGTAGATAGTTTTAGGATTGTATAGATTTCTTACATTAATAGATGTACATACATTCCTTTCCCAATTTCACTAGTAAATCTACCTGCATAATAAATATCAGGTCATGTAGAACATTGCAGGCTTCTGTATTAAACCAGGAAATAATGATGTAATGTATAGCATAGAAAAGTAATACTCCATATTATGATGCACTAGAAGGGTTACCTAGCAGTGATAAGTGAATTCAAGAAATTGAGAAGGTGATCTACAGTGCAACAATGGGTGCTTACCCAGGTACTGCTGGTTATAATAGTCTTTCTCAAGTGTACAGTAGTTGAATCTATTCATGATAAAAGCGTGGTCAATAAAACCTTTTATAGTGGTTTTGGAGACTGAGTAATTACAGCCTAAGCTCTGTAAATATGTCTGTAGACATATTACAGAGCAGTGTTTGCAAGCAGACCTAAATCGATTGATGTTGTTTGAATACTAAATTTTAACATTCATTGTTTCATTGATGTAGCTTCAGACGGTTGATTGTTCTTTACTGCCTCTTTTGGTGTGTGGGTGTATTACACTCAGTTGCCTGGTTTCTTTTCTCTAACTGTAGAAAAAGATATTGGTTTTGTTTCCCATTAAACATTTATTCACAAATTTTCTTTGTGGCACTTTTTTGAATCTGGACCTTCATCAAAATTATAGTCCTACTGTACTAAAGAACACATATGGAAGAGTTTGCCTTGGCTGAAGCCTTCAGTATGATGTGAGCCCAGAAGGTGAATACAAATAAAATTAAACCTACTGTACTGTGTGCATTGTTTTTAAAAACAAAGACATATTTTCACCTCCAACATAACATTCATCAAAAAATGGCCAACCCAAGTACAGGGAGCCCAATTACTAATTAGAGTAACTTAATTTTTAAAATATTACAGTGTAATATACTGTATACAGTACATCATCAAATTTGTTACATTGTGTGGCTCAGGCATAACATACAGTAAACATTTCGAGAACCTTGCTGTATTCGAAAATTGCATATTAAAATTGAGAGCGCAATTGAAAACCATGTTCCAAGTGCATTTTGATTAGTTGAATCTACTGCAGCCATCTTGTTGAGTACCAATACACAACTCTGCATTTTTGGCACTATAAAATGCAATACAGGTGTATGTGATATTATAAAACATAGCCATCAGAAGCATTTTGCAGGTGATCCGGCCATTACAGTAAGAGCTTGTGCGGGGTGGGGGGTGCGCTTAACAAATTTTTTTGTAAACTGAACTCTAACCATGGATACAGAATTTTAAAGTTAGTGGGCCTCTGAGAGCATACAATATCCACCCGAGCTCCTACCATGATTGAGTGAACAACCTCTGAATGCCCGGAAATAGAAGCTGGCAAACTGTAATAATAATAATAACATGCCTGATAACAACATAACATATAAATTCAATAATTAAAAGGTTGGGGAAACACAATATATAAGCAGTAAACATTCAAATAAATAAAACTTAAAAATACAGACAAAATGAGGCTAAAACAATCTATGTTAGAAGTAAAAAAAATGTGAAAAAACATTAATAATAATAATAAAAATAATAACAGGCCTAATAGCAACATACAGTAACAACATACAAATTCATAAAGATTGGGAGAAACATAATATAAAATATAAAAGCAGTAAACTTTCAAATAAATAAAACTTTCAAATACAGACAAAATGAGGTTAAAACAATTTGTCATAAAAGTAAAATATGCAAAAAAACAATAATTAATAATAATAATAATAATAATAGGCCTAACATTATAACAACATACAAATCCAATAATAAAAGAGTTGGGGGAAACACAATATAGAAGCAGTAAACATTCAAATAAGTAACTTTAAAATACACACAAAATGAGACATCTAAACAATTCGTCCCGCACCTGGCGGCGCTTGCTCTTGGTATTGGTTTTGCTTTTTTGTATTGTCGTTTTGGTACATGTCATTGCTGTTTTGGTCTGTTGCCATTTTGGTACTTTCATTGGCGTTTTGGTTTATTGCTGTTTTGGTTATTGCCGTTCTGACCTGCTACCTATTAAGCTGCTACCCCTCCCCTCAAATACAGCTACAAGGTTTAGTGTAAAGTTAGCCTGGAGATAGATTCTATGTCTTTGGAAATATGGCACCTCTAAATGCCCGATGTGCTGTATATATCTAAAAAGTAATGGAATTGAGAAAAAGTGGTCTGGCCATGCTGGTGCAGTTCCGGCAGCCCTGTAACATCTGTTATATATCCACGGAGAACCTTGATTTCCGTTGTTTTGTGTGTAGGACAAAAGATATGAATAAAGTGAGTGGTGTTAAAACATTGATAATCAATTATATTGTTGCTACAGTGATAACGTTTCTAGATCAATTATGACGTCACAAAAATTCACCTATTGAGAGTCACTGTATTTAAATGCGAGATATTCTGTGAGAGTTTTTGCACGTTCTTTTGCTTATTTGGAGTTTCAGTGTTCTAAAAATATGTTTTTATAGTTTTTTTTTTTATAATTTATTTTTTACTTAGAACATTTTTTTTTTGAACAGCTCTAATTAGGAAGTGAAAGAACCTTGGACATGCTTACATGTTACTTTGGCTGGGCCTTTAGTCCCACAGACATTGATTGATGGTTGGATTGTTTAAGTATCCCCATTTTAGTAATGCAACTGTGGATAGACCTACTTCAGTTCTGCATCATAATACTGTTCGCCCTCTAATTCGGGACCACCTTTCGGACCTGAAAATTTGGGGTGGTCTTAGGGTTGATCTCTAATTAGAGGGCTGTCTTTGTGTTAAAAGGTTGAAGATGGTTATTTGGGTCTTTGGAAAAGTGATCTCGAAGTAGAGGAGTCTCGGAATTAGAGGGTTCTCAAATTTGGGGGTGCACAATAGTTGTTGTCAGTTCCAGGAGAAAAGTCTTCACTTTGTGGTATTTCCATCGCTAAATGTTCAAGAACAGCAAGCCATACAGTGATGGGGCTTTATGACTTTTGCAAGTGATTCAACATTAACATAAACGTTGAATTATACCTCTTGTACCAGCCCACTACTGATACCTCCCCATGGATTAGAACCCATTTCTGAACCAGCGTAATTTATGATGATATTAAAATGCTTCAAACACTTAGCATGTTGACATCGGGAAAGCCATTATTTCTTATGGCAATTTCTTTCCTGTATATTGGCAAATTATGCTTGCAAGCCATATACTATTAGGCCTATGTCGGCCTCATTATGCACCCACTCAAACAGCCTCTAAGGTGAATTATAGAAAGAATATATTTTATTGTACATTAGGATTTCTAGGTAGTAGAATTTTAATAGCTTCCATAATGTAGCTGATCACACCTCATATCATCAAAGCTGATATAATGAATATAGTATATACCAAAAAGAAAAAAAAAACTTATGATAATCATCATCATTAAAAGTTGTGTAAAATTAAAAGTATTTTTTGTGACCCAAGGTATACGTATAAGCCTCTATTGTATTCTTTTATTTAAAGCATCAAAATGCATGGGTGGGTTTTTGATATTTTGCCATTAGAGGATTTGAATTCCAAGTGACATTTATTGAACAAACGAAAAATGCAGATTCAGTAATAAATGCTAAGCTGGAGAGAAAGGATCTACCAGTCTATGAATTATTTAAAGACTGTAATGTTTGATGTATTCCCCAGGCGTCTTGCCTAGTTCCATTTATCACTCTAGTATTATATTAGTTGTATAATCAAGTCTACAAAATTTAGTTATCAAGTGACAGCTAAATTTCACTTACTTCTTACTGATGGCAAGTGCCTTTCTAATTAATTAAAATTCTAGGGAAAAGAACTTTTTTGCTGCAACCCTCTTCCCAGGATGTAAAAAAATAGGTACTCAAAATGGGTCATGAACTGGTAATCAAAAGTAATGAAGTAAAATGTTTAAGTGTCACTTAAGGCGAGAATTTTTTTATACCTTGTTTTGTGAACTTTTTTTTTTTTTTTTAAGAGCATCAGAGAATGGTGGAAAAACAATGAAAATAAATTTTTTTTCCCTTATTTAACAAATACTTTTGCCAAAAACAATCCCTTAAATGTAAATAAACAGTGCAGTAATGGGATGTTTAAATGCTTTAAATTTATATAATTAGAAAAAAAAAATATATGTTATTTTTGGAGATTTCAAGGCAGCTGCAGACTTAAGAAAAACTTCTAATTTTTTTCTGAAATTATTATTCGTGGCGGCGGGTGCACAGTTTAGCCAAAAATAAAATTTAGTTTTTATTGAACTTGACCGTTACTAATGTGTTTTAGTGCAATATATAAGAGTACCAACGATTAATAGATACAGTAGATTAATATTAAATCTTAATTCTATTTTATTTTCAGATGGTAAACTACTCATGACCCTGTCAGAGGAAGATCTGGAGAGTAAACCAATCAGCATCGAGAACAATCTACATCGGCGAGCCATCTTGCAATCAGTGGAGACCTTACGATTAATTGGAACTAAGAGGCCAACAGACTTCTGGGAGTACAAGGTAAAAAATTAATATTTTAAATATTAATTTTCAGAGAGGCCTATTCAATAAGACCAACATTATTTTGATGCAAGTTTGTGCAGGAAAATAATGATGTGTTATCGTTCCGAACATTCAGTACGTTCCCTAATACAAAAAAAAGGGGTATTGCAAAACATCTCTCATATGATTCCTGAAGCAAACTCACATCGAAAGAGCTTTTGCGGTAGCCAGCCACTACTGCTTTGGGATCGTATTCAACACTAAGCGCAAGCTCGGTAGTCTAGTGGTTATGGTGTCAGGCTAGTTATCTGGAGCTTGTGGTTTTGATTCCCAACCAAATCACTTACAAATTTTTTTTTTACAAGTATTTGTCAACGTACTGAGTGTTTGGCAAAATAATTATCAGGTAGGTTAAGACGTCACTCCTAATGCCGGACAATCACTGCACCGTACAATACTATGGTTATACGACGGCCGTAAGACCGTCGGCTGACAAACCCAACTCTTCTCCCTGTGAATGCAAGACGACGCGATTTCATCTGCTGATTGTAGGTTGCAGTCTGAATGGATTGTCATTAGAAACGATCTGTTACATTCACCTCATGGAGTTGCGCTCTTCATAGAATCGCGTCGGCCGGTGACCTTTAGAGTAGTGAGTGCCAGACATTATTAAATAACTGTTTTCACCAAAATAGAGCTTAGTTCTGTGGATGCTTGCAGGGAAAATAGCACCCGGTCAGTTTATTTCAGTTAAACTGTAGCAAACTTGTCTGGTAATATAAAATTGATTGACTATTAATGGGTTGTTGATCAAGATATTGTATTCAATCTGTTGTTTTATCAGCAACAATATAGGTTTGTATGGCGCATTTAAAATTTAAAACATGGAAAGTAGCCCTATATTTTTTGATTCCAATCCTATTAAATATTTCTTGTTTTTAGGCTCTTAATCCAGGCTTGTCATTACTACTGGTTTATGCCATGAAGGATTATCCACGCGTAACATTAGCGTATCTTTATTTGTTTGAGTATGATGACGTATTCCTACCGTTCCTCAATACCACCTGCCCCCAACCTCAGTCAATGCAAAGTTTTGCCTCAAACACGGTTAGTTCATTTTCTTAAATTTTTATTGAATACAGTATATTATGTGTTATATATTGACATAAGGAAGGATATAATATCCTGATTGTACACATTTAAATTGAAGTTGTGCAATTCGTTGGTGTTTGTATAATACATCAGAAGACCCTTTTTATATATCCTGCTGGTATATCACATTTCATGCAATAGTTTGAACGTTTAATTAAAATAAATTCATGTTTTTGCTCTCTTTTATATTAATTAAATTTGGAATTGTACAGTCATTTCCCTTTGACATCTTAACTTGCGTAAACCATATTTTTAATCAATCACCATTTGCTCTGTAATTGTTGTGACATACTGTATACTGCATTAAGCAGAAATAAATGGTACTCGTGTGGTGAAATGAAGGTACCAGTAAATTCTGTTTTATAATCAGGTACATGTTCATTCATTAAAACAACAACAGTACACAGCATATTTGTTAGAACTCTACTTGGTAGACATTTCAAAGTGATAGCCCAAAGTGGTGCGTAACCAACAAAAATTAGATAAGCTTTAATGCTAACTTCTTGACCATGTTTTTTGAAAATTCATAATTCCATAACAGAGTTTGTGGTTTGAAATAATAATAAAAAAAAATCCCCCCAAAAATTTGAATACTGTACCATACCGTACATCTAGGGCTAGGCCTATTTACGTTATCGTTTTGCTAACAAGTCTCAGTGATTTTCCTACTTGATGACAAATGAGTGTAGTAGTACTGTAAATTATTTTTAATTCTGCCCATAGTTGTGCTCAGCTTTGGTATTTTATGAAACAGGTCTCTAACTTCACAATCTACAATGATTGACAAATATACATTTAAGCCCAAGTTTATTTTGTAATGTATTTTGCTTTGGTGTATATGGTGTTCAACTTTTTGATGTTAATAAATGTATATATTTATGCTAGATTTGTGATTGATTCATTAAAAGACTTCTTGTCATATTAAGGTTAAAACACTTGATAAAAAAAAAGTTTTATTAGGACGTGCAGGAAAAATCTTGCGGATAAGCAAAATTAACTCTCTCTCCCCCCTCCCCTTTCCTGATTTTCTTTTGAGATGTGATGCTAAATTTTTTTTTGCCCTAATTCACGTTTAATCAACTGTAGGATTCTGTTTATGGATATTATATATTTACGTGACTGCGATCATATTTCGGCACTAATTAAAATTTAAATCCCACCCACATGCAATGCATCATTTCGAGATCTAGTTTCTTGCACACGTGCTCATTAGATTTTGCTTTAATCTATTTCAAAAGGGAAAAAAAATCATAACTGCTGAATTTAGAGAATCGCCCTTCAAACTTGGTGAATGTTTATACAGCCTAGGCCTAGCTTTAGACTTAGGAAGGATAGGGCTTTCTGTCATTTGGCCTAGGAGCGAGTGTGTGTGTACAACTACTATAACGGTTCTGCATTCTTTGATGTGTGGATTCTGTTGTAGATATAAATAGAACAAGTATTTAAATTTGTCCAGTTTAAAATCAGAAAAGACATCGACAACGGTAGTGGGTCAGACACTTGTTACCATACCACAATAACTAAAATTTGGCAAATTCCGATTAGTTTGTTTTAGTAGAATGCAGTGAATGACTTTGGTGACTATTAATTAACGCAATTCCCAAATTTCCTTTTAGTTTTTGCGTACAAAGGAACATACACACCTGTAGGGTTGTGGTTAGTTTAAAGCTTGAAAAGGAGATTTTGTAAAATCAAGAATTTTTAGGTTTTCCTTAATGAAAAAAATTTTTTTTATTCCAAAAAAGCCAGCCCTACATTTTTTGGCTCTATTTCAACTTTTTATAAAAAAACATAGGTAAAATAAAACATAAATATGAGTAATATCTTGTAAATTATATTTGTTTAATGTTATTACATAGCAAACATTATGAATATTTATCATTCGTGTCTATTCATTTTTATCCTTTTTAGTACCATTTTAATGTGCAATATGTCATTGTATGTTTTTTGTTTTTTTTTTTGTAAATTTCACGCAATTTAGCCACTGGCTACAACATGTAAGTTTTGAATAAATCTGTGAATGAATGAATAAATATTCATTAATATTCATAATTTTTTTAAATGCTATTGTTTCCTTTTTGTTTTATTGTTATTTTTGATAAAGTATACTCATCAATGGTTTTATTGTCTTTTTTATATCAACAGTTACCTAGTGTATCTAATACACAGTTTCTGAAATTTACATTTGTTGCCATTGTTATGCCGTATTACCTAACTGCCAGATTCGCTTGGGAGTGGATGGCTATCAATTCATGGACAAGTCTTTGTGTCATCCTCAACAGCTTGTTTATAATGGTGATCGAATTCAAGCGCTTCAGGCGATTTATTGCTAGTCGGGGCCAAGGGTGAGTGAAATGACTATAGGTTATTTGAATGGATAGATATTTTAAAGGTTTTGGAACCTTGTCTGCAAAAAATTGCCTTTATTTGTTTTGTAAATATGTAATAAATTTGTCAAATTTTATGAAACTGATATATAAGGAGTTAAGTAAATTTTTTTTAGTTTTATTTGGAGTCAATTACTCAGCTCCTTAAATAACCCTCTCATCAGATTTAGACGAGACAGGGGACATAGTACTGGTGCCGTATTATGGCCGCCGGTACGGTGCTTTCAGTGCAATCATTGTACTGCGTAGTAGTCCAAATTGGGAAGGCTCTCCGATTCGACCGACGAATCAGAATCACTGAAAGTTTTAGTGATAGCGTGTAGCAATTATAATGGAAACCAAGCTTTAAGCTTTGTCTACACAAATTTCATCAAAAGAGCGTCACACAAAATTTGATGGAACTAGAGTTGAACACGCCCAACTTTTTTTTATACAATTTGATGATATGTGATGACATCATCGTACCCATATATGGGCACATCACATTTTTTTGTCACATAAAATTTGGTAGTTTAGACAGAGCTTTAGAATGTGCAACAAAATTTTTCAATTATCATACTCTATATAGAATTATGCTTACAGTATTCAATATTATTTATTTCCCAACAGGTTTTTGAAAGAGTTCTTCAAGAAATATACATCTGGCTTGTTGCTGTTAGCAATATCATCACTGATCTACACAATATTACTGCCAGCTATTTTGTGTGATTTCTTTTTCTATCTTGGTCTTTATCTGTCGCCGGTGTTAAACTTCTATGACCTTTACATCTCTCAAAACCCGCAACGTGTATAAGATTGGGCAATGATGAAAAGAAGAACACAGTGTACAGGGACCGTGTTGGGATAGCGATATTGGTCTTGGCCATTTTCAGTGCAGTCACCACAAAGAATCTATTGACTTATGTGAACCTCCTACATACTGGCATCCCAATTAACTTCGAGCATTCATTACATTCATCCACGATTGAGTGAAAATGGAAAAAATCCTGAACTTATGACGCTTCATTGGCTGTGATTCAATACATAGCCAATACACCTGTGCAAGCCTTCCACATTGTAGTATGGTTTAATTAAAACATTTAAAAATCAAGTGTATAATCTAATAATATATTCTTACATTACTTATTCATTAAGTTTTGCTGTATGAATATTAAATAATTTTTTAATTGATACCCAGGATTTTCATTTCAAATTACATCTCTTACACAATCTAATGATGTATTGTATTATTAATGCCAGGGTGCATGTTGCTCAACTTTGTACAGTGCGAATCAGATATAATTGAATTGAATTTGCTATTGTATGCATAAGTACCAGGGAGCTATTATGAAATAAGCTATATTTTATGTTTACCTTTATGACAATATAATCAATGCAATGTATTATTACTTTAGCTAAGATTGATCAAATTTCCATTTATTACAAGTTATTATTAGTATTTTTTTTATTTATTTATTTTTTTTTTGACTATCCTCATTTAACCACTACTACTGAATATTGTAGGATTGGGTGTTAGATTTTTTGGCACAGATGTTGTTGATGTTTTGTGTAAAGTTGAATTGCAGGCAGGTCCTGAAATAAAAGATAATTGTATAGCTTTACCTATTAAACAGCCACCATTGGTCCTTCGGTAGAACGTCTTTTACAGAGAATAGTAGCAGTACCTTGTTTGTTAACCACTGTGGATTTTTGGTTTAGTTGAGTGTAGTTTCTTTTCTTATTACAGTATATTAAGTTATATTTTGCTTTACTGTAGGTTTCTATGTGTGCACCCTGCACGTGTTTGCGTGTATCTCCTTTACGTGCAGATTTTATTTTTACATTACAAGTTACCAGCATTCTACACCATGATGAGGTCAGTGAGCCGCATGATGATCCGTCAGAGGGCCAACAACTTTTGAGTGTACATGTATTGCGTGAAATCGTTCCCCCAAGATGTTAAGTTCATTGTGATGTAACTTCAATTGTTATTCTGAGAAAAAAAAATGATGAGTTTCTATTGATGTTTTTACTGATTTTTCTTTTATTGTTGCCTATTTCTAAATGTTGTGAAATACCTTATAACCTTGGTTTGGTTTATATAAATATTAGTTTCATGATTAAAACTGTATACATTAACACAGTGTTTACTAGACTGGAGCAGTCACTCCATAGATTCCATACCTCCGCCCTATGTGGGACTGCAGCATACCCTTAATGAAATAATGGAATCACCAATCATATTCAAGCTCATTATTTTCTTTAGTGCTGCAGAAAGAAAATAATGGAATCGCCTGTCGTATACAGGCACATTGTTTTCCTGAGTGCTGCCTGAATATTTAATTGTAGGCATTCACAATATTTAATATTCTGTTTAATAGGGAACTCTTGCCTGAAATCACCAGTGCGTAACTAAGCCTTCCGTTTAGTTTTTGACTATTAAAGTAGCAAGTTAAATCCTTTTATTATTCATTTTAGATGGATATCTGTTTAAATGTTATCCCCATTCTTATATAACAGAGCAGGTAAACTATGAACAGGATGGAAGTTGTGATCTATAAGGCCATAAAAGCTTTTTGCCCATCCACAGTGGCATCAAAATCAAATTCTTTTTTGACCAACTATTTCTCTATGTTTATTGCTAACATGGTAATTGCAGGGTTTAAATCTAGATTAAGGTATCAAATGTAGAACCCCTATGAAGGGATACCTTTTGAACCAAACGATGTCCCGTTAATGGGGTGTCCCTCTTAATTGGGGTGTACCCTTAATAAGGGTCTCCAATGAACCAGTGTCCTCTGAATACAGTTGGCTGTACTGTTAAATGGTGTGCTTTCTCTTGATTTATGACCAAAAAAACGTCCTTTAATAGGGGTGTCCACAGGATGGGTTCTACTGTATTAAAAACTTGAAAGGTGACCTCAAGTCAAGTCTTATATAATGCTTAAAGAGAGTGGCATTTTTCAGGATATCAATCCAAGACTCTGAGATTGGAAATGTAGTGTCTTAAGTATTCATACTTAAGTAAACACCTTTGTAACATTTACTTCTCTGTTTTTCTGTCCTCGTGTGCTGTGTGTTATACAGTTTTTGTTTGCTGCAATGTTTTGTGGGAAAGGAACTACCTTGAATTATGACCTATTTAATTATCAGATAGTGGATAATCTGCTGTTTAGGATAAGCTATCAACTTGTGACAGGTACATGTGATCTGCCTCTTATATAAATGAGTGTAATATGACATCATTATGTCCATATATAGGCAAATCATGAATATTTATGGCATAAACCTCAATAGTGTGACATAGAGCAAGATATAATCTATGATTAAAATGTTTGCAATTCCAAAGTACAGGTGGGAAATGATTACTTGGGCTAAAACCTGGGTGCAGTGGTGGCTATATGATTAGGGTTGGGGAGGGGAGCTAATTTCTCAGACAATTTCTGACAACGGGATAAGCTTTAGTATGGGTACGGTGGGTTAACCCCCTTGGTTCCTAAAGAATCTGGGTAATTTTGGGCCATTTTAATCCATCTTGAGGCTTTTAATGCATTACGCCCAAAGAATTTCTTTAATATTTCCCATTTTTGTGTTGTTGCGTTGTGTTATAGCTTGGCTTGTCTATATGGGAACGGGAACTCCAACTCCCCATGTCCAATAGTGACACCACTGCTCAGCTTTGCAAGTCCATGTATGAACTCTCCTTTTAACAGAAGGAATGCTCAATACAAACTTATTCATTCCAACATTGGGTGATACCCTCTGTAGTTTGAGAACATAATATCAAATACAGAATCAAAGTTTGTTTCAACTACTACAATACATGGTGTTTTAATAATGGTATTGACAATATTTATATTCTGTCCGTCATCCACACACTTGCCGATTGCATTTTATATGTTGCGATTCATATTTCATAAGGCAAGGAAACTGGATAATAATAATACAGTTTAGTTAGCCATTCCTAGAATTGGATTTTATGTGGTAGCCAAAATGATTGAGTATGGAAATCATAAACATCTAAACTCGGATTATTTTTGGTTCGCCATTTAGGGTATTGTCACTTTTTTGATTAGTGGTATTATAATTCTTATTATTTACCATTAATTTGCAATGAGAACTATGTATTAACAATAACTATACACATCAGTACTGATAAGATAGAATTATAATTGTTACAGCAAGGTTGAAATTATTTCATAAAACATGTCGCCTTGTGTGTGAAGTTAGTATGATCATTGCCATTAAATGGATCGGCCCAACTTGATGTGTTTTTATGCACTGCCAAGTCTTGACATTGGCAGTACAGAGGTCACTGATTGGGCCAGGGATCGTCCCATTTTCAAAAGAGGGTATACTGTACAAGCATATTACAAACATAAAAATTTTTTTTAAAAATGTATGTAGCAAACACAAAAATCTTGAAATTTATTTAGTGTTGCCATGAAAATCGACAACGTTAGATGATGTATTTTCTAGCTTTCTTATCCTTGTTTGTTTTAGGCAATGCCGTAAACAAGCATATTATTAACTTCCACTGAATGATGTGTTTACTGTATTTTAAATAATAATACAGAGTTTCTATGCACTAAAAGTTTAAATTCTACTCATACAATTAACCTTTAAAGTTTAATTATGTTTAATATCTTTTCTCTTATGGTTTCCGGTTCAATCCTCCTTCCCAAAGGTATAGGCCTCCATCACATAATTTATTTTTAATGTGCTATGATACTGGTCTGGTATTTCTATGACCTATTCACAAAAAAATATCTTATGAAATAACTTATACTAACATCACATCACACCACCATAGTAAAGCAGAATTGTTTTTGACTATTAATTGTATGTGAATATTTATCTACTAAATCATTGTTCTTAATTGTATTGCTGCCAGATTCATTATAAGCACTTATTAAGTTGTTTGTTCGAAAAAATTGACTTGCGGGTGGCCAAAGATGAATAATACAATGTTGTTCAATAAAGGTAAAAAATTTAATATAATGCATTTGCTTCACATTTGTTTTGCAATTACATGTTTATGTGTTCTCACTAAATTTTAAAAATCTGAAAAAAATTCAGTTTCTACTTATTTTCTGACTGCTACATTAACACATTTTTGAGCCTACGTACTGTATAAGTCAGTGGCGTATCCAGAAGTCTGGGGGGGGGGGAAGAGCGCGATGATCAGTTAAGGGGTGATAAATCGCAAAATAAATTTTTAACTACTTGACCATGATTTTTGAAGGAGACTGGGGAAGCTTTTGGAGAGCATGCTGTGCACCCCTAGATACGCCACTGATGCAAGTAATATAGTAACATGAATGCGGCACTACCTTGACATCAGTTGTTGGATCCATCTCTTCGGAGCATCAGACTCTGCACGTTTTTTTTGTTTTTATACACAAGTATTATACACATTTTTTACACATTGTTTCTTAGTTTAAAAGGAAACAAAAAGAACCACCTTATAATTTTGCGCATCGATCGACGCTCAAGGGCGCATACCCAGTGGAGTCCTCCGTCAGTAAAAGTCAAGATCCAGACATGCATTTTTAAAATGGCAAGTTAAATATTTTTCCAATTCCAATTAATAAATAATTAATTACATTAATTAATATAAATTCTAGTTTATTAGGTCTGCGTGGTCACAAATGAATCAAAAGAATTTTCAGCACTCTGTTGAGGTTTATTACCCAGGGAGGAGCTTTGACCGATGGAGGGTGTGCACCACCCCAGCCCTGCCATGGTCGGGCCTGAGGCAAGAAGATTTATGGTTATGGCACTCTATTAATATTTGAATGCAATTTTCCTTTATTAATAACAATTTTAGGGGGCTGGCTGGCTCCCCCACTCCCTGAATTTTGGTTTGTTTGCACTACCAGTGCATTGTGCTGACATTATATTTCTTTTCCACTAGCTAGGGAGTTTTAAACTGTAGACAGTAGTAATTTGGAACCATGCTAATTTGTTTAGAACATTTTCTGCAAAAATATATAGTTTGCTTCACATTACAGAAAAATGAATTTAAAGATGTTCAAACATCATCAATATGTGATCACGGCTCTTTATTCAATTTTATTCATTTGACATAAAATATAAAATAGAGAATGATCAAAAAAACCCAGTACTGTATTGCCAAAATATGGGAGACACTTAAAAATGCAATATATACATAAATGATAAGCACACCTTTTAAAAATATGCATTTAATATTAAAATAATTATTTATAATAGGTATATTTACAAAAATGTCCAGATTACCATTTCATAATTCTCACCTTTTTATTTTATAAAACTGCTTTACAAATAGACATTGTAAATTAGTGCTGGCAACGAGTCTGATAAGCATCATAATACAGTAATAAGTTGTTAATCTGTTTTCTTCCCAATACTATCGCTTACTTTCTCTATGCTTTCCTTTGCTTCTTTTAGCTTTCGATAACTTTGTTTTGGTTTGAATACCAAACCAACAATGATAAACAAAGCGCTAAAGAGGTGTGGAATGAAATAAACCGATTTCCAGAATCGTATCGTGTCATTCCAGGTTAAGAGAAGAAATCCCATGGCAAGGTAGTCCAGTCCTCTGCTACGGAAGAACCAGTTGAGTTTACGGTACACTCTGGCATTTTCATCTGTACGAAATGCCTGTATCATAACATCCTCTGCTGTTAGCATTATGGGAATGGTCAGAAAGCTAAGGAAGTAACCAGGATGAATACCATGCCAGAAAGCACTCACCAACAACGTTATAGATGTTCTGAAACAGAGGAAAGAAAGAAAAAAGGGTAATGTACATATTCATTATTCCTGATTAAATGAAGAGCATCATGCTTGTATGTTTGTCTAGTAAAACGCTAAAGATAAAATAAATTGTAAAAATGGTTCTAAGACAGTGTCCAGTTCTTCAAAGGGTGTTTAAAATCCATCAACAAGATGAAAAAACCCAATTCCTCACCTTAGAGACTTTATTGGACATCTTATATAAATATAGTGTTTTAGCCACCACTGGACGGTCATATTCCAGTAGCGCATTGCATCACGCAGTGTGGACGTGGTGTCACAGTTGTAGCCATCAATGTTACGGATTGTATCAAAGTTGTACTCATAATTTGTTGACTCGCTGAAAAAATGAATAGAGAAATATGAATACAGTAATTAGTCTAGTAAAGTACATATTATTAGCTCCGATCAGAAGCTCTAGAAACACTTGGCTGATTGATTAATAGATCTTTTTAGCTCTACTGCCTCTATTGTACTGCCCTCATGAGGCTAATTGATTAATAACTTATTAATAGATCTTTTTTAACTCTAATGCCTCTATTATACTGCCCTCATGGGGAGCTCCAGAAACACTTGGCTGATTGCTTAATAGATCTTGTTTAACTCTACTGCTTCTATTAATAATGGCCTCATCGAAGCATTCAAGATTACGAGAACTTGTTTAACATGGGCTTTGCAGGAGGGTGGGTAGCAATTTTTTACTACCCAGTATTGAAGTGGGGGAGCTGATAGGAGGTGCAAAGTTGAAGTGGGGAGGGGGCTCGATGATCAGTTGAGGGGTGCTAATTTGCAAAATAAGGTGATTTTAGGTGATTTTTAACTACTTGACCATGATTTTTTGGGGGGGATAATGGGGCGACGCGAGTGATTTTTGGAGGGGCGAGTGATTTTTGGAGGGGCGTGCGCCCTAGATATGCAACTGTTACTACCCCTATCTTTTGGGCCATAGCCATAGTAAATCTCATGGTAGGAAATAATGATTCTGATGTATTGAGAAAAAAGCTTAAGCTTTGTTATTTACTTCACCCTCTTACCTGTCTTGAGGTACAGATTGAGTAGGACCTTGAGCACACTTAGGGTTGGTTTCTTTAGGATATGCGCCAAGACCAGCTAAAATGCAAACAACTTCCGATAGAACCCATGCAGAAAACATTCGGAGCCTGAACACAATAAACACGGGAACCATGAAAAGGTATCTGAAAAATATTAATGTTGCAAGTGAAAAAAAGACTAAAAAGCCAACAGACACCCTTAAAACATGTTTTGTGGTAAAATAGGAAGAACATTAAAATACATCATGGTAGCAAATGTGTTATACAACACCTGTATATATAATTATTCTATTAATTTGATTGGTTGAAAACAGGTCACATAAAATTGATTGATGAATATTCTATGGTTATTTAAGTACTAACTAGTCAACGATTATTGAATAGTACTTTTTCATTTCCAAGACGAAAAAAATTTCAAATGCAACGTGAGCAAGAATAATTTGCCTAGCAATTTGAAGTTTTATTGAACTCAGCTGCGCTTTGTTTGAACATAATATCCAACCTTTCACCTCGTGAAATATTCTACTCCACTGCACTCATAAACATTCATTATTTGTATAATATACACCATGGTGTCAATCAGACCTACCTGTACCAAAAAGGATTATCGTAGAACGCATCTGTCCGGAGATAGTCAATAACGAAGTACTGAGAAAGAATGAGGTAGGCGCCACCATATGGTATAATGTACTTAAGACGATGTACTGCCGGCTTAAGTGTTGGTATATTAACACCCTGTTTCTGGTTGATCATATCTGCATAAACTTTATACTTGTAATATGGTCCTTGAAGAATTAAAAAAGAAAAAGAAATTTTCAGAAAGTAAGTTATGTATATACAGAATCAACAGTTAACACCTCATCTGGAGGGCAAGGTAATTAGACAAAGTGTCTTTTACAAAGACACATGCATTATTATTATTATTATTATATGATATTTGCAGGTCCTGAACTTGTTCCTTCTTGAACCAGAGTTATAGGGCATGTGCCCCCTCCCCCAACAGTTTCCCTCCTACTAAAGAGAAAAAAATTATGGTCAAGCAGTTCAATAGTCCTCTCTTATCCTTTTTTGCCAGCTAGCACCCCCTCACTTAGGCCCAGCGGTAAGGCAAAGGCGCGCCGCTAATTACAGCCTTAACATCAGCGCTTGCTCCAGCCGCTTTTCTCCCTGGGTTCGGTTGGTAGAACCAAGTCTCTCGAATAAGGACATAAAATGGTAGTCCAGTGTACACATCTGGCTTGTGTGCATGTGAAAGAACCCATTGCATCTTTCGGAAAAGTAGAGGGGTTACCCCGATACTATGGTTCATTTCTGCCCCTGTCATTGTGGAATGTGAACATGTAGCTAATATAAGTGCCTCTTTACAGCCAGTAGTCATAAACTACGACCATACGCAAATCAGCACAAATGAGTTATGGGTTATTCTCCTACATTTATGTTTAATCATTGAGCCCTACCACTCCACCCTCTTCAACCAGCCCCCATTTTAAGACTCTTAGTGATGCTCACCTGTTAAAATCCCAATATAACAATATGCATACATGAACACATCCAGCATTCCAGGTGTGTCAATAACTGCCATCAGGGTTCTGTTGTCTACGTCTTTTTTCTCAGACTTTGAGATTTCTTCCTTTGCTTTCCATGAGTCTTGTACTTCAAATGCTATTCCAACCATCTGGTAAAAGGTACAAAACATTAATTTAAATTGCTTCTCATGTAGTTATCAGTTTTAAGTTAAAAATTTAAAGAAAGGAGAAGAAAAAAATATGCTCTTTCTACATTCACTGTACATATTATTTTGATCAACTGGCTGGTAATTAAATTAAAGTTTTCTTTTATAGTGTAAGTGGCGAAAAAAAAAAAATTGTTTCAACCTATGTATAATAATTTTTTGACACATATGCTTTGAATGTTTAATACAATTGTATGTATCAATAAAAATGTAAATTTATTTAAAAAGTGGTTAAGCTGTATACTGTAGCCCAGTGGTGGTTCCAGAAATTTGCCAACTTCGGGTCTGAACCAAAAGGCTGACTAATGCCTCGTCCGGGTCTCGGAATTAAAAATCCCTGTTGGGTTCACAGGGAGATTTTTTTTATGATTTAGTATGGCTGTGCGTCGGATGAGGGAGTCCAGGCCTGCCCAACGGGAGGCCAAATTCCCCCTGCCCCCTTGGTGCTACAACTGGGTGGTCCCCTTCCAATCCCTCTGGTCCACACATGGATTTTTTTCTCACGAATAAAAAACTTCTAAATAAGATCGAGAATGAAATTTAAAAGAATTAATGAATTCTGCACAATCAAGTTCATATTGCAAAATACATTCTAATGCACTATACCATACCCTCAATGTTAGCAATAGCTGAACCACATTTGAGAACGAAGTCGGTGCTGGCAATCCGAAGTAATGCGTTGTGCGGAAGAAAGCAAGATAGGTGAACACGAACACAAACGACAATGTTGGGCAATGTCTATAAAAGAATATGAATAAACTTCAGTGATAAATATGGACCAAAAGAGGGAATGCAGTACCCACTGTAAGGGTGAATAAGAAAATGCTCGAATAAGCGCCGCTCTCGACTAAGCGCTGCTCCTGTATAACCGCCGCACCCAACATGACTTTTTCGTTAAGCGCTGCTTTTGAATAAGCGCTGCAGCGAGTATATATTATCCATGTGTGTGATGAAACAGGGTTTTAAATTCAAATGTATACAGTGTTAATTAAAATGAAAAAATAAACACAAAGTAGACAGGCATTTCATATAAACATTTTTTTTTACGATGACAGAACCTATGATAGGCCTACTGAACTATGGGAAAACATGAAATAGGTAACATGGAAACGGACAAGGAAATATTTTTTTTATAAGTGCCTCTATCGAATAAGCGCCGCTCTCAAACAAGCGCCGCACTGAAGCCTCCAAAAATTTTATAAGCAGAGTGGTGCTTATTCAAGCATTTACGGTATGCAGAAATGTAATACTAATAGGCCTATATAGACTCTAGGCCTATCCAATCCTGATTTTCGTCGTTGAGTAGTATCAAAACTAAATAGATTTACACAAGAAATTTAGTAGGACTATTTATATGCTAGATTAGGATTTGATAAAGAATACTACAGTACTAACAACTCTACTATATTTCCATACTGACAGTGTAAGTAATACCAGGGAGTTGTTATAGTCACTATAACAACTCCCTGGTAATACAGTAGGCCCTAGGCTAGCCTACTAGCCTAGTACTATGGGCCTAGCTAGGCCTCGGAAGCAACAATTTATTCATTTATTTCCATTCCCATATTATACCATAACACATTAGAGCTGAAGAACCATTTGTACGTACCTTTTATTTGAAAACTTGATAATTAATGAATTTACAAACGTGGTTACAAGTGAATGAAACATATTCATTCGACAAACAACGGCGACCATCCCGAGTCCTGCACCGGTGCAGATCCATTTCTTTTGGTTCGGAGTTGTAGCTCGTCGTTGTATCACATAGCCTAGAGGCATAGAAATAATTAGCATCAGCAAATATATAAATTCATCTTGGCTCATGATTAATATGAATCAGAAAAGTATTAACAAATGGTCAATACCACATTTGGTCCAGCCAGCGAGGTAAAAAAAAGCCTAAAATACGTAGGCTACGCTAGCCTAAAAAAACAGCTGACCTCGATTCTTACTGTCCAAAATATAATATGTCAAAAACATCGCCCTCTAGAGACCGACTAAAAGCAAAGCAGCATGCACAAGGTCAAGGTCAACTACTGTACCACGTGCACGAACAACAACTAGGCGGCCTAGGGCCTATGGCTAGGGTTTCTTTAAAAAAAAAAACCCAACTGCTTCAGTTTAAACTTCAACATGGTAAGTAACTCTAGTTAAGGAGATAGAAGTAATGCTTTAAATAATACTGAACGCTAGGGTATATAAATAGGCCCTAGGTAGAAGGCCTAGAAGGCTATGCTGCATGCATGGCCTGGGTACTACACTACCTAGGGCCTAGTACTACTAGGCCTAGGCTACAGGTATTTGTGTTGTGTGGTGTGCTTGTGCGTCCAGAAAATTGACACCTGGGGAACAGGTTTTTTTACAAACTATGAAGCATGGAGGTAGTGAACTGGAGAAACAACCAGGGGCGGTGCCAGGAATTCACTGACAAGCAAGGGGTCCAGAGGTTTCCGACTGGTGTCTGGGCTTCTTTTCCCCTGGACCCGCCACTAGCGAAGCCTCTGGAAACAATATGAATTCAGTCCTTCGACGATCATTGTGACTGCGCAGATAAGAATCTGTGGTCACGCGACGTATAATCAACCCTTTGTTCCTAACTGAGTTGCCGATACTGTATAATAAAAAAAAAAAACCATTAACCTCGGTATCGCACATCAATTCCTTCAGGCAAGTATGCAAACAAATACATCCGAGGTCAAAAATTCCTAGTTAGTCTGAAGGCAGCGAATGCACAGGTCTCGCTTCACTGGTTTCGTCACATTACTGGATTTCGCATCGCTTGATTTTCCCATCACTGATTAGTATTAATTAACACATGCAGTACTTCCACGCCAGCTTAAAATCCAGCCATCATTAATAATCTTACCAATATTATAAATTTACGTAAACTCTGTCTGCTCAGACTTAAAAACCATTATAGGTATATGATACTGTACACCACTGACAACAAGTTTGCAGCCATGTTTTGTGAGCTGTTTACATCTGATAATTACAGCATTACCTCACTTTAAGTCTATGGAATACTTAGCCAGACTGTAATATATCCACTTCTTATGTTTAGTTAGCCGATTTTATCATTGGTGATTACAGTGGGAAAACCACACGAGAAGTTTTAATAATACAATAATTCAAATAAATAAAGATTTTATTGTCTCTTTGATCTTGCTGACTACTGTATGGCATGTTTCTTTACACACTAGCCCGTAAATGCTCGAATACATTTAGAGAGGCTTCAGTGTGGCGCTTATTTGAGAGCTTATTAAAAAAATATTTTGGCATGGTGCTTTCCATGCTCGTTCCCATGTTGCCTATCTCACATGTTCCCGTAGGTCATTAGCCTATCACAAGTCTTTCGTCATCGTAAATAAACGTTTATAACTGAAATGCTTGTGTCTTCATTCTGTTATTTATTCATTTCAACATACACCTTGTATTTAAAACCCTGTTTCTCAAAGTCTTTCATTACACACAAGGAAATATAATACACTCTCGATAATGCCCCAGCGCTTATTCAAGGAAAAAATGGTTTGGTGCTTCGCTTATTCCAGCATTTACAGTATTATAATAATAGTTTTCTACAGCTGAAGTTGTTGGGCTGCTTTTTATCTTCGAAAGGAGACACAGCTGACATATGACATCCAAAGCAAATGAATAAAATGTTATTTTATTATGCAATACTGTACATTTTCATGGAACCTTATTTTTATTAATAAGCCATCATCAACATGCACACATACACAGTTAATTTGTCATGTTATAGGCCTATACATTATTAGCTTTTGTTCATATAAAACAGTAGACTGTACCTATTTGTTGACTTTTTTAATAATTATTTATAAAATTAAAACAGCAAATTACTTCTGAAATTGTGCTAGGGTCTGCGTCTATTCCATAGGCCTCAAAACATACATACGTACGACTCGAAACTAATTGTGAATTTTATAATAAAACATGGGCAAGAACAGTATAGCTGTATGACGACCATATGACAACTGCCTCATACAGTCACGCACTAGGAAACTTTGGGCGATCTGACGTCATCACAGCCAAGCACATTTTGCCCATCCATCATGACCTCACGAAAAAAATTAACCAGTTAGCGGGTAGAGTTTAGGAGGCACAACCTAATGTTTACACGAAGAATGTGTTGTTTAGAAAAAAAATGTCAGACCGAAAATGCAGGTAAAAACAATATAAAAGCATGAAACATACAATCCAGTTTGATATTCACATTTTACGGCGATCCTGTCGTGTCTACCACAACTGGTACAACTAGTACCAGCGTAGGCCTGGGTTAGCTTGTGCTAGGCTTAAAATCTTCACATCGGTGATTTTTTTCGTCGGCGTTGGGCAGCTGCACGCCGCTGTTTACGTTGGCATTGCCGAATGTTGCGTTAATTTTGAAGGCTGATTCATTTCCATCATTTTATTCACTATAATATGTGGTTGGATTGTATTATTAAATGCACTGCTGAAATCTATGAATAACGGCCGTTGTTGGTTTCTCAAGGTGGTCAACAATACCATGTAGGTAACATAGTATTGCATCATCCACTCCCCGTTTACTTTAATGAAAATATCAGATAACAGATGTTTCAAAACTATTTTTCCAGACGTTTCATCATTGTACTAGTTAATGCCACCAGGCGGTAGTCATTAAGCGACATAACAGTTTTTTTCCCCAGGAACTGGTGTGATATGAACAATTCCCTTCATTAACAGACAACTGAAAAATTTTACTAAAAATTGGAGCTAGTTCATTACAACAGTATTTAAGAACTTTTTTGGAAGTATGGTCTGGACCTAGCTGAGGCTTTGTTTCTTTACTAAATATCCCTCTAAATACACTTTCAGAAATATGTATTTCCTCACTATCTTTATCATACATTAGTTTAGCTTTTAGACTTTTCATTTCATTGCTAAATCATTGTTCAAATCTGTAGTACATTGAGTTCATTAACAAATTCATATGTAGCTTCGGTTTTGTTGTTCTTCAGTTTAAACCCAGTGATCTGTTCCAGGCCTTTCAATGCCATTCTAAACGTCATTACTTTTAAATTTCTCCTCAATTTTCTGTTTATCCAATTTAATTTGTCGGTCAATTTCTTTTATTTCAGCTTTACAAGATCATGATTATTTTGGAGAAAGGCAATTTACTTTTCCTTGCGGAGCAGTTCCAGATCTTATGACACCCATGCTTAGTTAATGGTGTACTAAACTTTGTCGGTGCAAGAATGGATGTAGTCTGTTACAACGTTTACTGTTTCGTCAATATAAGCGTGCTGGAACACATCCCAGTTTGTGGATTCAAAACTCCTGCGCAGGTTCCGTATTGCTTCCTCATTCCAACGGTGGTAAGTTGTGATCCGTGGCTTTCGTTTTTTTTGTTTAATCCTTTGTTTATAACAAGGGGGCAGTATGTACAGTAGAATAATCAGACTTTCCAATATTTCCAATAATATGTATTTTGTAGGCAGGGCTGGAAATCAAGGGTTATTTGGTCGACCTGATTTGAAAGGAATTCAACTTGGTCGCTCTCAAAGTAGTTTCATAAGCGCTGGAAAGGCGGTTTCCTTCCAAATCTCAATTGTTTACAACTTGTACAGCCCATGATTTTCAGCCAGGCAGTATGCAAAACAAGCTACCATTCATTTTACGTTTACTGTATTGACCAATCAGCACAAGCTAGACTGTTAAAGTGTGACATACACTAAAGCCATGTCGATGTGTGCTCATCTTCTATAAGCAATCTCCGTCAAATCGAACAAGACTGTGGTGTAAAAATATCAGCTTTGACAATTTTTTACTGTTTTATTGAGTGCTACACTTACCTGTACCTTTCCATTGTGAACATTTCCTTTCTTATTTGTTCATAAAATAAAATACCTTTATTTCGAACGATCGTCTTTTGACTACTCATACAATGTAAACGGCCTACAATTTAGCAATAACAAAAATTTAACACTAAATAGGTCCTAAATAAACACAGGTAGACATCATCTGGATCGACTGAATATTATATTCCAAGAGGGGCGATATCTTTTAACACTGCGGCCAACCCTTAATAAGTGGACAGGGACACTTTTCTTGTGTGCCAAATGGTCAGATAACCCCTATTATGGGGACACTTACTTTTTTTATATATGTATCGCAACCATTACAACAGTAAAAATAAGAGCAATTCACTCAACTTTATATATTGACACATTTTGACACAATTTTTGAGCAACTTGTTAAGGAACTTTTATCGCTTTCTAACTATTATCACTTTCTGCTGCTGTTCGTCAAGGCCAAGCCTTTGTTGGACTACATAATAATAATAATGATGATAATAATAATAATAATAATAATAATAATAATAATAATAATAATGATATTTTAACTGAAGTTGAAGGGCAAAAAGAATTTTGAATCAAGTAAAATAATCCATCTTTGTTTGGTAGTTAGTTCGGTGTGTTTAAGTATGTTTTGTGGTTTTGCTTGTATCTGTTAAAGTGGGGTTCTGTTCTCACCTTAATGATTTGATTGAATTTTGTATTTTGAGAATTTGTCCAATTTCATATGTGGTTTTTATTTTAATTGTTCTGGCATATGTATGAATAAATTGTCTGTTTTAATGAATTTGTTCTATTGTTTTAAAGTTCTTCTAGGCCTACTACTTTACTTCTCTGTTACGCAGATTTTTTGAATAAATGAAAATTGAAGTTGTATGTAATATGAAAATTAAATTTTGAAATTTGAGCAATAGACCAGAATTTTCTCCCGAAATCCTTGGGAGTGAATATCGCTAAGGCCGAAAACCCATATTAAGGGGGAAATTTCACGTTTTTGGTTAGTGTCTCCCGAATAGGGGTACCCCCTATTAAGTGAACAGTTTTTTGGCCCTGAAGTGTCCTCTTAATAGGGGTTCTACCGTAATTGCCTTCTCAGCAGATAAGCAACAGTGTTCTCCATGGATTAAGCATGACATCAATGTGGATTTTCTATTTTTTCCCATTTTTATACTAATTAGCCTGTATTAGATTAGGGTTTTATGTAAAATTTTGGGTACACACTAGGGGGATAGTAGTAGATATTCGTGAAAAAAATCAGAAAAATCGCCAGTGACGGCGTTCGCAAATGTATTACTGTAACTTCTATACACACAGTCCTGTGGTGTTTTCTGGGTTTGGGTTCAGACAGTTAAATGTGTGTTGAATATTGACAATTTGCTTCAGATTTACACTGCTGTTATCTATGGACCAATGGTAGTGGTGGAGGGCTTATTGTTGGCTGTCGCATGTCTAGGGTGTGCAAGGGAAGGGTGAGGTGCGCAGAATCATAATTACTGCCGATGGGACTGTCTGTACCATATAGTATTACTAATTAGTACAGTAGCATAGGGGTGGTGATTGGCATGGTGGGGGGTGGGGAGGGTGTGTGAAGAAGAAATTGTTTAGTATTATTATATCTTCGCCTCTGTCTAGGCATTTTATTCCACCATTTTTACCAGGGTTCTCTTTTGGACTTTCTGGAACTTACTTTTTGCGAAATTTTGGAGTCACCGCTACACAAATACAAAAGAATTTCTGTTCAGTAAGCCCCTTGGATCCCCTGTCCAGTCATCACTGGAAATAATTCATTGAGCAATGTAATTTACATATTCCATCTGTCCGGCTTTTGGTAGAATTGTTCCACTCTCATGAGCTAATTGTGCCCCATTCTCTTCTTCAAAATAACGAATATATGAAGGACTTTATAGTTTAGTTCTGCTGATATACTGTATACAGTAAATATATACTTTGCAAGACTACCTCATTCTGTTCACCTGCCCATTGGAAATTTTAGTGTTATCATACAACTTTGTTTACCACAACTTTATATTCCTCTCCTGATATATTTCTTTGTGTGTATTTTATACATGTTCAAGTTTATGTTTGTTAGAAAGGTTTCTACATTTTCTGTTTATTTCATTCTCATTCCAGGAGAGAAACAATAATTGTGCAAGAAACCACGCCACTGATTAGGAACAATTGTGTAAGGTAATGAGGAGCAATTTTCCAAGATACCACACCACTGATGAGGGCCAATGGTGCGAGATACCACACCACTGATGAGGGCCAATGGTGCGAGATACCACACCACTGATGAGGACCAATGGTGTAATATATCACACCACTAATGAGGACCAGTAATGCTATGTACCACACCACTGATGAGGACCAATGGTGCAAGATACCACACCACTAATGAGGACCAGGACCAATGGTGCAAGACACCACACCACTAATGAGGACCAGGACCAATGGTGCAAGATACCACACCACTAATGAGGACCAGGACCAATGGTGCAAGATACCACACCACTAATGAGGACCAGGACCAGTGGTGCAAGATACCACACCACTAATGAGGACCAGTAATGCTATGTACCACTCCACTGATGAGGACCAATGGTGCAAGGTACCACACCACTAATGAGGACCAATGGTGCAAGATACTACACCACTAATGAGGACCAGGACCAATGGTGCAAGATACCACACCACTAATGAGGACCAGTAATGCTATGTACCACACCACTGATGAGGAACAATGTTGCGAGATACCACACCACTAATGAGGACCAATGGTGCAAGATAGCTTAAGTAACTGAGAAAAAAATGCATTACATTCGAAAGAGTAGCAACTGAGTGGTACCACATGTCATCACCACCTCGGATAGTTTTGCAGATGATGTTGAGGAGGAGCAGTTGAAGATTACACCCAATGACAGTGATGAAGAACCAGATGTTTGGAAAGATGGTGAGATTTTTATTTGTACTGTGTTTCACATGGACAAAATCACCAATGTGTGTCATATAATGGTCAACACAGTGCGGTACACGTGGCCAAACTGTGTGTAGTGGGCTCATGTTAAATCAACCAGTTCTGCCTGTTGCCTAGATTCTAATTGCCTATGTTTTTTGGCGTGCTGTAGCCTGTAGGTTATTTGCTTTGTGCTTACTGTGGTACTACTTTAGTTTGTTCTTCATATATGAACATAACCAGCCCTCATCGCCCATAAAACAATTTCATGTTATGTCTAAAAATCTTGAATATGAGGTGGTTTTACCAGCGCAGACATTTTATTGTTGTGAAATGTGCCTGCAGGCAAATTGCTGACAGAAAGTGCATTGCTTGTAAATTAGACTTGTGCTGATGCATTTTCTCTTCAGTTATTTAATTTTTTTAATTGTTTGTTTTTGCAGATCCACTGTGAATTCTCAAGTCGTCACTGAAATTGTGATTGGTGAGGCAGCTGAAGTTCTCGTTGATAATCCTTCACCTACATCCGTAACACGTGATAGAAAACTGGTATCTTTGTAGATTAACAGTGAAATTTTCTACACATTGTTAAAGTGGAATTTCAAATGGATGTTTAAATTATATTTAAAAATTTAAATATCACTATCTGTAGTACAGTATATTCCATTTTTATGAATTAGTATATTTATGCGAATTTACACGCTTTGCATGTCATAACTTGCCTGTAAAATTGTCTTATTATACAACTATCTCATATTTATTGGTTTTCAGTTCTCGCTTCTTTTTCTTGTTCTATGGCAAAAAATCTTTTTTTCTCTTTTATTTGATGCCATTTCAAGCAACACTACAACCAGACTCTGAAGTTAGGCCTGCACGGTCAATCTTCCATGTAATAATTAGGCCTAGGCCTAGAAGAAATCCGTCCGCGCATATCGGAAAATAAGGGCCGATTTAATAATAATAATAATATGGTCGACTTATAGAGTGCGGAAGCAGGTCAACTTGGCCCAAGTCAACTCGGTCCCAAGTAGTCAACTCGGCCCCAAGTAGTCAACTCGGCCCCAATTATACTGAATCTGTCTCTTATACA